TCGAAACTTATTAAAGGTTGTGTCAGCGATTGAGGCTGACGCCACTTCTGTTTGACTTGTGTCTCGCCCCTCCCTCCCGTTTCGTGCATCATGAAAAAACATTTGATCACCAAAAATAAAATAAATAAATAAAACAATAAAACTAAAATGTGAACTTGGCTGCTTTGGATTACAAAGTATCATGATGTATATAAAATCTGCAGTCGAGCCATGTCATTTCATAAGGCTAGTTTTGCTGGTGCTTCACTGGAAGCAGCACTGTAAAAAATATCCGTGATTTTAACAGTAAAAGACTGTAAAAATGCTACAGTGCAAAACTGTTAATTTGTTAACAGAAAGTTTCCGTACTTTATACGGTAAATAACTGTGATATAATTTTACAGTAAAATACCGTTAAATTTACAGTTTTTGAAAGTGAAAAAGAACAAATCGTTGTATAATTTACAGTGAAAAACCGTAAATTGACATTCCCACAATTCTCTGTGTGACACTTTACATTTGATGTATTTTTGTTGAAATAACTATAGTTCCTCATAGTTTTATTGTTTTTTTTTCTAATCCGTTATGTACATTAGGGTTTTATGTTACATTTAATGTTGTTAAATTAATGTTTATTGCATTTTTTAATTTAATGTGTGTTACCATGATGGTGTTTAATGTTTGTGTGAATGACACTGTGCAGCTTCTTTATATAAGTATTATTTAAATAGGCAATCACTTATGATGATCTGTGATTGCTCAAGTAACTCTCATCACTGCTGTGATGATTAATGGTTGTCAGTGTATTACAATAGTCTAAAACACATATCAATAAGTTGGTAAATCAACATTTAATCAGAAAATAACTTAAAATTTACAGTAATAAACCATATTTTAAGTCTGTAAAACCATTAACGTTCCTACCGTATTTTTAACGGTAAAGTTCTGGCAACCACAGCTGCCGGTTTTTTACCGTAAAATTTACGGTTTATGTTTTACAGTGTATGATAAAACGTACCAGAATCAGTCATTTAGTTACAGATCTAACATTATGGGGAAAACTCATGGTAACAACAGCTATCTGGAATAATATTATAATAGTTTATTATTATTATTCGGCTAACGTCCTGAACGTATAGTGTTATTGCTAATAGTACAATGTTAACGTAGACACATATGACAAACGCAACTCACACGCTAAATCCCGACAATCTGATATTCGCTAGAGCTATCCAAGTTTAGTCGAGCTTCACTCACATATTTTTTTAAAGAATTATATTTTTACTCACAGTTCACATACAAAAAAGTCAGCACTAGAAGCTACTCACCTGTCCAGAAGAAACATTGCAACCTCGGTGTCCGATTTAAAATTTTTCAATTCTCTTGAGTTCTCTCCAAAGCCTTCCAGATTATTATTCGTTTCTTTGGCGAAAAACGACGGTATTCCCTCGCCCTAATCCTCCTTCTCTTTTTGGGGATGGCCTCTTCCATGTTAAATGTATCTGGTCCGTTGATAGCATAGGGTTGATATTCTTCAGCTTTGACTTCGCGTGCAGGCGCCGTGCATGAGCGCAAAAACAAACAACCCCCGCCCCTGTCGGTGATTGGTTAGAACACTGTTTATTTTGATTTTGAGTGGTGGTTGTACCCATTTGTTTTTGTGTGCAGATCTCAGAGCCTAGGCTGCCTACAGAGACGCCTTTTTTTGACAGCCTGCTTAGGCGGGCAGCTAGTGGATCGTTAGGAAAGATTAGATGAATGTGATCATTTTAGTTTGGGCCTGAAATCACTGATACAACCTTTTAAGCGGTAAGTGTGGTATAAATATTCCCCAAGCTGCAGGGCTCTATAGATGAACTAGGATCTACGTTCACAGAAGGTTGTGCATGTGAATGCACTTTTAATGAAGCCACAAGCTGTCTCATCGCGTTCCTACATTAATTCATCTCGTTGCTCAGGAACGTGCCCGTGACCCCCAGTCACGCGAAACATCAGCGCAGTGGCATCGGCCCAAAGAGGTTAATTACGCCCGTCGCTGCATGCTCGCTCTCGCCGCGACAGTTTCACGCACGAAGCTTCAAGATGAACCGCAAGTTTGATGACACTTTCTTAATTGCTGTGGCTATAATTTTGTAATATGATTGCAAGCGCCCCCCCGACACTCTCTTTGCTCTGTTGGCAGGATCTCCAGCGGTCTGTCAGGACTGCATGGGAACTCTAACCTCAGACTCGAGCAGGAATAAGCCGAATCCCTGGTAGGGAGCGGATAATTTATACACAGAATCCTCATGAGAGGTTGCCTACTGCGAAAAACCATGAAAAAGATATATATTGGGAAAACGGCCCTTAAAACCCCTCGAAATGGTTGTAAACATCAGAAAAAGAGGTAAGATGCTCTCTCAACCTCGTCGTCCGCCCACCACAGTCATCCCATCAGCCATGTGCATCCGTCGAGTGCCGAACTCATAGTGCTGTGACAGATTGGTTCCACCCTCACCATCATGAGTGCTGTTGCTACAAGTGTTGGCCAATGAATGTGCTATTGTACACACTACATACAGTGCGATAATCATGCTCTCCAATCCACTTGTGACTATGGAAGTGTTATTGGTTTGCTAAATAGGGCTGTTTAAAGGAATTAGTAAACCAATACACGAACCAACACCATATAGTGGGTAACAAGTGGAACAAATTGCACTGTCAGATATACAGACCCCCTGTATATCTACTTACCTCCATCTTGTCTCCTTCATATGAGGTAGAGTTCGGATTATATGTCAGTCACACTATATGTCAGTAACTGTAAGGTTTGAGTAAAAAAATGCAGTGGCGTATATTTAGAAAAGGCAAGTTGTTACATGTTTTTTTTTTTTTTAAATCCCCCTGAAAAACATACACTGGAGAAAACATTTGATAACCAGCTTTGGTCTGCCGGTAATGCAGTTATTTTGGGATCCTGTAATAATTTGGTCAGTTTTCAATATCAATGTCTTTTGTGCCTCCACATGTTAATCATACGCTGGCTGGCAGATTCACTGTATGATAATGAAAGCTGATTTTTGCTGGAATCAGATGAGATTGCGCAATTTTCATTTGGTAAATTTGCAAATGGTTTATTTTAAGTGGTTAATTCTCACCTACAGCAAAAGAACATTTCAAATAAAATTAGGGCTGTCAAACGATTAATCGTGATTAATCACATCCAAAATAAAAGTCTGTTTACATAATATATGTGGGTACACTGTGTATAATTGTTATATATATATATATATATATATATATATATAAATACACACACATGAATATATTTAAGAAAAAAATATTATTTAAATATAAAATATTTATATTTACATATCATATAAATTGTATGTAAATCAATTAACACAGTCTCATCCCAAAAAGTCATATAACTGACGTTTTGGGACGTATTTTGACCATACGTCAATATCCGCCTTTTTAGGGCCCCCTTAAACGTCGGTAGATGGCGATTACCTTTAACGTCAGTTAGGTGACGGGTTAGGTTTAGGGTTAGGTTTAGGTATGGGGTAGAGTTAGGATCCCATAACCTCATCTACCGACGTTTAAGGGGGCCCTAAAAAGGCGAATATTGCATATGGTCAAAAGACGTCCCAAAACGTCAGTTATATGACGTCTTGGGATGAGACCGGGTTGAATCAATATACAGTATATACATGAAAATATTTCTTAAATATATACAAGCATGTGTGTGTATTTATATATATAAAATAATATACACAGTACACCCACATATATTATGTAAACACAAATTTTTATTTTGGATGCGATTAATCGCGATTAATCGTTTGACAGCCCTAAATAAAATAGAATCATTAAATGAGACGTTTTAGGCTTATGTGAATATTGTTCACTTAAATTAAAAGTTGTTAGAATAGGGGCTTAAATGTTAAATGTAAATTCAAATTGTATATTTTTTCTACTGTAGGCCTTGGATTGCAAATTGTAATGTTGCATGGGATTATTTGCAATTATTTGTAGAAATGTATTATTTACAGCGGGATTGATTTGTGTATGTTCTAACAACTCACCAACCCTAGATAAAAAAAAAGTGAACATAGTGCATCGACTGAGGTGACCCCGAACGTGATTTCGACTGAGCTAAACCGCCAACCCCCCACGCCCTGCTAAATGTGAATTTGAATGTGTTCTTTGACATTTCTTGGAGTATTATGAATAACATTGTAATTATTCATCATAATATTTTCATGGTGTCAGCTTACTACATTTTCTAAAGGAAATTTTCATTTTTAGTCTGGCTTAAGGCTCCCCCTCCCCCCCTAGTCTCTATTGAGGCAGCACAAGTGATAATAGTGTGTGAATCTGTGCGGTGTGCGTTCCACTGTACATGTGCCCTGCTGAGAATAAGTGTGCGTGGTCTTGCATGTGTGCTCGCTTCCAAATAGATGTGTGTATCGATTGTCGGCACATTTATCTCTCGGCGTGTTACATTCTCACCGCTTCAGACACGTGTTGTCTGACAGCATGATCAAGCTTGGTCTGTGGCACGCCAGAGAAGTCATTATCGTTCACCACACATCTGTCCGTCAATACAAACCCATTAAGAGCTGTCAGTGGTTTTCTTACATATCGTAAAAAGCTGTGTTTGGCTCCATCCATCTCTCTCACCCCATCCGCTTGAGTGTTTGATCTATAAATAGATGTACATGGCATTGGTCATGTGACTAAGGATCAATGTGGGAAATGGGGAAAAAAAGAGTGTTGGGGATTTAAAAAGTCATCCTGACATAAGTGTGTGCGATTAGTGGGTTATTTGACAGTTATTGATCATGTCAGTGACAATGAAGCGAAATACGTTCGTAAATCTGGCCCAAACTGAGGTTTTGCTTCATGTAAAACAGCTGTTTTTTTTTTTTTACATTCCCATTATTGATCCTGAATCTCTGCCTGGTCCATGTAGAAAGGATTGAGGGAGTATTTTTGTCAGATTTTGGGAATGTAATCACATGCGCACCTCTATGTAGCTCTCTGCAGGAACAGAAGGAAGACCTGCGGAAGCGTCTCTCTTACACCACTCATAAGCTGGAGCTTTTAGAGCGAGAGTTTGACTCCACGAGGCAGTACTTGGAGACAGAGCTGCGCAGAGCCCAGGAGGAGCTCGACAAGTTCACCGACAAATTACGCCGGTAAGGAAAGAGGCATCTGGCTTTAAAACAGTGTGGCTGTTACCATCCACATGTGGTAACTAACTAACTTTTTTAACATGAGAATGGACTTGAAACTTGGCAATTGTCTTCATCCCAACGTTGTACTTCGTTGGTGATAGAAAACAACATACTTTTTTAGTGTGTACCCAAAGAACATTAGCCTGGTAATACCAGACTCCCCAGATAGCAAACTGACATTGAATCAATGTGGAAACATGACATCGAAACAACGTTGATCTGACATTGTTTTGCTCATCGAATTAAGGTTGAACCAACGTCAGACGCGTCATTCTTTCAAAGCTAACGGAAAATCAACTTGAAATCAACGTTGTTTCAACGTTATGAAAGCAAACCAATTTTCGATTTTCATTTAGCTTTGAAGAATGCCGCGTCTGACGTTGGTTCGACGTTAATTCGATGAGCAAAACAATGTCAGATAAACGTTGTTTCGATGTCACGAGAGACGTCGTTTCCACGTTGATTCAATGTCAGTTTGCTGTCTGGGTCTGCTACTTCACTTTGCTTCGTAGACAGAGTCTGGTGTTTTCTAGTGTTTTCTCTCTTGCAAGGGGTTAGAAGTTTAAAATCATTGGTTACCCGTAAGCCAATCAGATAAGTTTATTTATGACGTATAGTATGCGCCGACACAGCCGCATCGAGACATCATGCATCAAACTCAAATCTATGATCGAACTTCCACTGTAAACAGGGAGCGGTGCTTTTGTAAGGGCTGCAAAATGTGTGCCAACCGGGAATGAACAATTCAAAACAAAAAAAGTAGGTTATTTATATGGTTTACTGAGTTGGGGCAGCCCCGCAGCGTCGGCACGCCCTGCTCTCATGAGTCATGACTGATTTAGCATATCAGGGTAATAGAAAGTTCATTTTACTGACTCTCTTGAGTCATTCGAATCATTTCGTTTATTTAAGTGGCTTTAAATGTTAGAATTTTAACAGCCTAATTCCCCGATCAATCCACCTACGCAATGTTGATCATATTCTGAATTAAGAAATCATAATGCAGTAAAAAATGATCTACAGGGAACATAAATAATCACTTTACCTTCCGAGTCTTACGTTAATTTGTCACGTGACATACGCAATGAACAGATGCAGGATGAGCAGGATGTCGAAACGAAATATGGTGGATAGTTGTTATTATTATGATAATAATAATATGATAATAAGAGCGCGCCAGGAGTGTTCACAGCCGAGGAGACCGTCGTTATTGTCATGGCCGTAAAAGACAGAGAAGTGACGTTGTATGGGGGTAAGTTATGTCCTTATACATATGTGTCTTGCCAGCCCGTTCTCATCCTTTAACGTCATATAGAACGCTATATGAAAAACGGCGCAGTCCTACGCACATGGCACCCTTTATCGTTAATATAACACGCGAACCCAAGACGTCATACATCCTTTAGCGTGAATATGACACGCACACCCTACCCCACACCTAAACTTAGCCCTCACAGCGCGTGTTATATTAACGATAACGGGTGCCATGTGCGTAGTATAGCGCCGTTTTTGCATATAGCGTTCTATATGATGTTAAAGGATGAGAATGCGTTGGTCTTGCCATTATATAATAGGCCAAACAGGTCTGATCCGTCATTACTACATTAGCCTGAAAAATGTGGGTAGCCTAAATGTGTAAGCTTGAAGTGTTAATATGTTTTCTTGTTATAATGTATGATTTGCATAAATAAAACGGCTGCATCTGTGTTGATGAGCGAATCAAAGTGCACAAGCTACATAATGGCCAAGCATGCGCCCTTAAAATAGCATTATTAACAACGTGCAAAGCGCCACTGACTTTAGACTAGTTTGTTACGCGTTATATGGCATGTTGGTCTTTGTTTGTTGTTGCGGGTATACGTTGCAAATAGAGGGGCGGCAAAATTGTTTTTCGCCTACAGCGGCAGAAGTGCACGCGCCGGTCCTAGCTGGAAACACTTGATGATGCGAGCGAAATACCGGAGTGAATATGGCTGTAAATGACTTTTGCTTCAGTTTGAAAAACCCTGGAAGGTTCTCCAACAGAGCGAACTTCATCCCGTGTCTTGTTTCCCATTTGTGCGGCCGTTTCGGTTTTCGTTTTCTCCTATATTTTAAAAAAGAAAACATCGTTTGTTTGTTTATTAATAGACAAAGTCACCAACAAAGTGAACTGAAACTGCTAAAAATTATTTTTGGGGCATATTCTGTAGACAAAAATCTAAATTTTTTGGAGGTTGAAAGTCTGCTTGTATCTGGTCCCAAATGAATACAGGATGCTGCTGTAAGAATGTCACACTTACAGAGAAACATGATGGCAGCACTGTGATTGTCCAGAGATATTTTGCAGCCATTGACAACATGCTGTCATTGAAGAAAGTATAATTTCTGATAGATGCCAGTTATTTCCTAAAAAGAATGTCTGACTATTTGTGTGTGAGCTGAATATAAATCGTAATTGGTACTGCAGCAGGACAATAATTCACACAGAATCCAACACCTATACACAATCAGGTGCGCATCTTAATGGCTAAAAACTAAATTAAGGTTATGGATTGCCCTATAGTCAAAGCCCTGATTTTAATCCAACTGAGAATACTTTTCGCAAGGGGACTTTATGAATGTATTATAAACGTGCATTCAGTAATTGTTTTCTCATTAAAAAAGTTTTACCCCAAGAGAAATAAACACGACTACACAAAGAAATCAGTAACTTAAAATTAATAAAAGCTGTTTTATTTTACACAGAGCAGGTCAACTCATTGGGGCCACCATGTTGAGATCACATGACCTGTCAAATACCTACTCTAACACAAATAAGCAGTCATGGCTAACTGCCAATTGCACATTTATGCAATGTAATCAGTAAATAAATATGTGAATCAAAATATTATCTTACACACAATTTATTTGAAATAGTTGAGAATGCCATTCCAAAAAGTGAATAACAGAAAATATCACAGACTTGTTCAGACCATGTACTTTAAAAAATTGCTTTTGGCAGCGGTTTGTGGACAATATTAATAGACACTTGCACAGATGCACACTTCGAAAATCCACTGGAAAACTATATAATCCAGACACTTTTGCCTTAAAGGAGTAGTTCACTTTAAAAAAAAAAAAATTGCTGATAATTTACTCACCCCCATGTCATCCAAGAGGTCCATATCTTTCTTTCTTCAGCTGAAAAGAAATTAAGGTTTTTGATGAAAACATTCCAGGATTTTCTCCATATTATGGACTTCAATGGGAACCAAACGGTTCAAGGTCCAAAAGACAGTTTCAGTGCAAACTGCAAACTGTTCAAAGGGCTTTAAACGATTCCAGACGATGAATAAGGCTCTTATCAAGCGAAACGATCGCTCATTTTAAAAAAATAATAACAAAGTTTAAGTTTTATAAGCTTAAATTTTTATAAGCTCTTGCTCTGTTCTGTGATGCGCGTTCGTGACTCTCCTGTTCGAACTCGTTCATCAAAATGAATCATTTCCTGAGTCAATTCGTTAATTTCGTTCGTTGAATGAACCAGATGACACGAAAAAAGATGATAAACGAGTTCGAACAGGAGAGAGCTCCTGTTCGAACTCGTTCATCAAAATGAATCTTTTCCTGAGTCAATTCGTTAATTTCGTTCGTTGAATGAACCAAATGACACGAAAAAAGATGATAAACGAGTTCGAACAGGAGAGTCACGAGCTTATAAAACTTAAACTTTGTTTTTTTTTTTTTAATGAGCGATCGTTTCGCTTGATAAGACCCTTATTCATCGTCTGGAATCGTTTAAAGCCCTTTGAACAGTTTGCAGTTTGCACTGAAACTGTCTATTGGACCTTGAACCGTTTGGTTACCAGTAAAGTGCTTTATATGGAGAAAATTCTGGAATGTTTTCATCAAAACCCTTAATTCCTTTTCGACTGAAGAAAGAATGACATGGACATCTTGGATGACATGGGGGTGAGTAAATTATCAGCAAAAGTTTTTTTTTTTTTTTTTAAAGTGAACTACTCCTTTAATATTTTAAACATACTATGATTTGGGATGCACTATTTCTTAGCTAGCGTACTATTAGTATTTCGGATGAATAGTAAGTGAATTTGGAGACAGAAATTGTTTCCCTTAGGCTAGTCAGTGCCAAGTGTGTAGGAGTCAGTTGTACAGTTATGGCTTGGCAATGTGTTGGGCTCCTCGGTCCATTGTAAAATAAATGTTGTGAATTGAAATGGCAACAGATACCATAACATAATGCGGAAGATGAACAGGTGCGCTGGTGAGAGTTTTGGCAACCGACTTAAAAAATAAATAAAACCTGGGATTATGTAATATGTGTCTAAGGAAATAATAAAGGCGTAAGACCTTCTTGTACGTGCAGGATTTGAAAAAAAAAAGACGTTTTGTTCATGTGTTTCCCACAGAATACAGAGCAGTTACTCAGCACTGCAGAGGATCAACCAGGACTTAGAGGATAAAATACACCGAAATGTGAGTGCACACATGTGGCCACACTCTAAAAAGAGCACAAATTATTCAAGAGGTGTCTGGGCGCACTGCTTTTTGTTTTAATGTGCGAATGGTTTTGTCCACATATGTGTTTACAAGTACTCATCCCCCTCTTTAAGTTTTTTCCTGCTTAAATGGGTTTTTGGATGAAAGTGTTTACATCGCTGTCCACACTTTTGTCTATACATGCACGTGTTTTGTGGTGTGACATTAGTGAATGTGTTAAATGTACAATAGCGCTGAATGCACTAAGAGTCTATTTGAATATCTATACACTGCCACTGGTGCGCCTGACATTAATTACAGTCCATTACAACAACCTGTCCGCCTTCACATGGCAGTGTGATAGTGAGTCTATTATGCTCGCTGAGTCTGCATCACAGCCTGTTTGTTAATTTGAAGTTCGAAACAATTAAATTATAATTAGCCTGCCTGCCGCAGTACATCCTATGTCCAGTACATGTCTGTATTAGGATCCACCCCAAGTTCGTAATAGTTAACACATTTTTTTAGCAACATATTGCGTCAATGATGGCCCTGAAGTTTATGGGTCCAGGTATGAAAGGAAAATTATATCAAAATCATCTGATCCTTAAAAATATGATGATTAATTCCCATCTGCTGCAGGGTGACTTTACACATGCATTGACTTCTAACTGTGTGAACTTGTCAATATTCCTACTGGTGATCCATTAGGGCCTATATCATTGCAAATGCATATCATAGAGTTTTTTTTTTTTTTTTTCTGAAAATGTGCTCCTTTCATCCAGTCACAGCACCACGATGATGAGAAACGGGCTCTCAGCCGAGAAATCATCGTCCTGAACAATCATCTCATGGAAGCTAAGATGACCATAGAGAAACTGAGAGAGGATAATGTAAGAGAAATAATGACAATCTGATTTCTTTTACTCACGGAGGCTTAATGGAAGCCTTTTGGAGGACTGTGTATTTGCTTTGGATTATCTAATGTTCCTTTTCTACCACTCTCAATAGGACTTATACAGGAAGGACTGTAACCTGGCTGCACAGCTCTTGCAGTGCAATAAGTCACACTACAGAGCCCAGTTATCTGAGGTAAGTCAGCATGCATGCAGTTTTAACAAAGAACAGCAGTTCTGAAACGACCTGTAAGTGAAATGGTTTGAGCGGCTCGCATATATAAACATTGTTGGTTAAACCTAAAAAAATAAGTAACCTTGTTGCCTTAAAATTTTAAGCTCATTGAAATGGGAAAATTGAGTTAATACAGTAAAGAAGATTGATTTAATCATCATAAACTCAAAATATTATGTTATCTTAAACACATCAATTATTTAAGTTGATTTGACAAAAGAAAAATATGTTGTGATTAAAAATCATGAACATTTTTTTACAGTATGTGCTACAGTAAAAAAAATAATACATTCTGGAATAAAATCAAATGTCTACACTGTAAAAAAAATATTTTCAAGATTTGTTATCACAACATTTTTTCTTTTGTCAAATCAACTTAAATAATTTATTTAGTTGAGATAACTTATTATTTTGAGTTTCTGATGATTAAATCAATCTCCTAACTCACTTTTTCCAGTTCAATCAACTTAAAATTTTAAGGCAACCAGGTTACTTACTTTTTTAAGTTAAACCAACAATATTTTTTTTACAGTGTATAACAATGATGAATAACAATAGAATGCTGTCTGTCAAAGTGCGAGATAATTGTTAGATATAGCACAACCTCTGGTCTCTCTTTGCACATCCTCCACACAATACCTTTTCCAAAAGATATTTCATCTATATAAACCCAGCCATCACCTTTAGTGACATATTGTTTAACCACTAACTCTTTTAGCTAAATGTTTTTTGACTGATATAACTGTAGCAAATCAGCGCAGTCTCATCCCAAGACGTCATATAACTTGACGTTTTGGGACGTCTTTTGACCATACGTCAATATCCAGCTTTTTAGGGCCCCCTTAAACGTCGGTAGATGAGGTTATTGGATCCTAACTCTACCCCAGACCTAAACCTAACCCTAAACCTACCCCGTCACCTAACTGACGTTAAAGGTAAAGCGTCAGTTGTATGATCGCCATCTACCGTCGTTTAAGGGGGCCCTAAAAAGGCGGATATTGACGTATGGTAAAAAGACGTCCCAAAACGTCAGTTATATGACGTCTTGGGATGATACTGTGTTAAGCAAATCAAGAAGTAGGATTCTTTTTATTTAGTGGGATATACTATTATTTAGGTCAACTATAGTAAATCAAATCCTTGTTTAAAGAAATATTGAGGTTCTGTCCCAATTAAGAATGAGTGACTATTCTGGAAGGGCGAGAGTGGGAGGAAGTTTAATAATAGTGTGTGCCAATAAACTTGCCATTTTATTCATCGAATCTGCTTCATGCCTCATGCCAGTCCCACGATGTCTAGAACAGAGACTTATGTTGGCATGCTGCCTGCTTTAAAAACCTGTTCATATTTGGCAGATGTACCTGAAATGGAAACATCAATGTGTCTGTAACAACGTGTTCAGGGATTTGAGCCTTGAATATTGTTTTATATGAGAATGTCAAAGAATTGGCACTAAGCATTCGTTAAAATAGTTGGACATAGCTGAAGGTGTCACATGTTATGAGAGTTTCCGTATAACCACAGAGAAATTTCTTTAAAAGCTGCCCAAAAGTCTTAAAAGCAAGAATACTCCGAAGGTCAATAGATGTCGTATAACTTAGATATCAAATCGGATTTGTTGAACCAAGACCAACCCTACTGGTTTGAAAAAGGACTAAAATTTGCTTTGTCTTGTCTCCTCTTATCATGCTTATATAATTAGCCATGTTCTGTTAGCTAATTAGCCGCAATTTACTTTCTTCTTGTTGCTATGGTGAGAGAACTGAGGTAAGAAAAAAAAAAAAAGAAAAAGTGAAATTGGATTGATGCCTAGTTCTCTGTGTGTAGTGTCAGTGGCAATGAAATCTGCGGTTCTTCCCTCTGGCCAATTTTCGCTAAATGAAAAACTAAAAACCATGTACTTGCATGGACCATTAGTACAGATTTGAAGTCTTAATATCTTTGACCGTCTGCTTTGCAAATGTACTTCCATTTCAAGTTCCATTCATCAATCCTGTACGTCTCTTACAGCCTCTTAAGGATATTGACCTGATCTGAGCTATTATTTCCCTTTTACCCTTGCCTGATAGGTTTCCATAACAGCCTACCCTTTTCTCTTTGTGTGCGAATCTCTCAACTCTTATTGTTCATTGGGTACATCTAATGGAAATCTGTTTCACTCTCTCCCAGTTACCTGCAGAGTTTCAGGAGCGTGTGAGCTTGCACATGGAGGGTTCATCCCTCTGCCACTCCCCATATGCCGACACAGTGCCTGCCTCTGTCATTGCTAAGGTTCTGGAGAAACCAGATGAGGTCTGCAGCAGTCAAGCCTCTCGCTCACCCAGCCCACAACCCCAGGAACGCCAGGGCTTCCTCGTGGGCACAAGCCTCGTAGGTAGCACTGAGCGTCTCGGCCTCCGAGCTACTTACAAGTCAGATCTGTACAGCAGTGACACAGCACTTTATTGCCCTGACGAACGGAGACGAGAGCGGAGACCCAGCATGGACCTCCATGGGCAGCGGAAGGTTTATGAACCCCAGAACTCCACTGATAGCAACCCAGAAGAGGGATCCATGGCACTGCAGCCTGGTTTCTCGCAGGACCACTTCAGGAAGTTTACAACCTCTCTGGGAGGCGGCTCCAGCTCTTACTCCAGCTTTAGTGCAGGAGGGTCCGAAGACAAGGGTCAGGATCCTCCGAGCAGTGCTGCATCTTCTCCTCGCCACCCTGCCCTTTACATGGAATGGAGGGATGGGGCTGAATACGAGCACAAAAGCGACTCTTCCTGGGAGAGGGAGAGTCCAAGCGCCTTCACAAAGGCCCATGCTTTCCAACCACCTGAGACAAGCCACCATCAGAATGGTAGCTCACCTATCTACAGCAGAACAATGTCCTCCTGTTACAGTGAACCTTACGAGCCCCTGCCAACTTCCACCTCACCCAGCATAACCTATGGTGACAGTCGCCGTGGAAGTGCTTTTGCTCCTGAGGAAGAAGAGCTGATTGGTCGGTGGAGGCAATTGAGTGTGGAGGATCTGAGTGCGCACTCATACCGCAGTCCCGGGCGGGCCTCACCTTACAGCTTCTCAGAGCAGCACTTCTCGGTCCGGCCTGCAAAAATTCGCCTTGGTCCTCTCTACAGTAGCTTCCAGGAGGGTACTGATGTATACCACCATCATGGTGGAGGGCTAGACCCCTTCTCCAGCCCCAGCCCTGATTGCAGCCCAGGCCTGCGGCAGCAAAGCCAGCCCCACCTGTACCACTCCAAGGAGGATAGCCAAGAGTCCGAGCAAAGCCTCTACAGCCCCAAGGACGGTGTGGTGGCAGCTGGGGGACAGGCAACAGAGTACGTTGACGTAAGTCCCAACAGTTCAAATGAGTCACTGGACCATGGATCTCTGGAAATGGCTGCAGAGCTGCAGCATTATCAACCCGAGAGGCACAGCGTGTCCCCTCAGGGAACCACCCCACCACCACCTCCACAACAACCGTACCAAAAATTTGGCACACTAGGGCTGTCACGCAAGGACAGTCTCACCAAGGCACAGCTCTATGGCACTCTACTAAACTAAGAGTAGAGTTTCCTGGTTAATCCTCTTTTACAGCTCTGTGGGACTCTACTAAACTAAGAGCAGGGTATCCTGGTTACCTGCTTGTTTCGGTAGGATTTGAATGTTCAGCTACAGTTTGAGCCAAACACATGATGGGATTTTCTGTTGAATATTTTCAGTCCATCTGCTTTTTTCTCTCTATTTATGTATCTTTTACAGTGTTTTCTAAACATCGAACATAACCGGCTCATGTTTCTACGGTTGATATGAAGCTCTAGCCTAACACTCAGCACTATTTGTATAGCCTATTTTGAAAGTTTATTAATGGTTCTGTGTGGTTTGTGAGAAAGTATTTTAAGTGCATTAGGTGCATTATGGATTTTTGGAAACGTGTCTTCAGAGAGATTATCTTTGTTTTACCGAAAGCCTTGTGGGCTCAAAAAGAGTTTGTGAATAGACAGCACATGCTTTGTAAAAAGAAATGCTAATTTTGACAAGAAATTCGATCTTTTATTATATAATTTATGAATAGCTGTATTTATTAAGTATGCTATATCTATAATTGTTTAATAAATGTAACACTATGGAGAGATTGAACAATCTATATAATTGTAAATTATTTTTATTGCTATACATAAGGCAATCGGCACAATTATACATGCTGCAAACAATTAAAAATGCCTCAAACGAGTAAAGTCATAGATTCAATTTGAGAATTAACTGACAGATCTTGACGGATCGTTTCACAGATTTGTGAAAATAATTGTGAGAATAACTCAGCATGGAATCATAATACCCCTAGGTCAGCCTGTCAAGATTAAGTCTCAACCAAAGTGATACTTCTAACCTATTTCTATTCCGAATAGATCTGATACTACTCAAATCTATTGCTTCATTAAGCGAGTAAAATATCTTGAAAGCACTGGGCATTTTTTTAAACTCCTGATGTGTTTTGTTGGGCAATGGGATTTCCGAGGTGATAGTCCTTTTTGATGTTTTCTCTCCTTTCTTCCTCAGTGCTGTAAGCCCCCTCCCTCAGGCCCTCTCTACCTCACGATTCAATCCCTCTCTTCTTTCTTAATCAGCTGGGATCCAGTGTCAGTTGACACAATGATGCATGACTCTGTTTCTTCTGTTTTGCTTTCTATATCTAATAAAGCACAATAGTTGCACCATGTCTGCCTCTTTAACTCCCTTTTGTTTCCTTCTCAGCTCCTGTCGGAGATTGAGGCTGTTGCTGAGGTGTATTGGGGAGAATTTATAACTTAAGAGTTCTGTTTCATACATGAAATGTTTCCTTGTACAGTGTGAATGACAGCATACAAAGGAAGGACCTTGTTCCTCCTCCACAAACGACCACTTTTGCAGAATTGAATTTATTCAGTCTTTATAACAGAAGCACTGCATTTACACTCAAAACATTCATGTTAGCGTGTATGATTAAGGACTGTAGCAAGTAAACTCCCTACAGACCCACAGTGAATGAAATTGATCTAATAATGGCTAATGCACAGCAGTATATAGCGGAGGTAATGAAGTTTAAACAGCCATTACTCTGATTCACTTTTTTATTTGAGTAGCGAGACCACCTCACAGTCTCTGCAGAGCCACAGCCTACGCATTTTCCCTTTTTTATTGCGTTTGGACACTGGGATGTCACAAAAATTTTCAAATACATCTCGAAATAAGTCACAGGGTGGGAGTTGCCGGGTATACTATACAGCATGATGAAAAGATTATATTCAGAGAGGCTAAAGTGTCACTATTTCACTACATAAACGAATAAGTCTAATGCAGAAAATGTTCATGTTATTCTGTATTCATCTTAGCTCTGAGCCATATGTTTCTTGGGAACATTGCTCCTGTCATTTGTATTCAAGGGATATGTTGGACTCGATACTTTCAGGCTCTCATTCACAGAGAAGAGTGAGTCACAAGCCGGAGGCCATCTCTGAAAACACTGCAGCAAAGATATGGGGAACAGATGGACATTTTAATTTCCTGTCTCTTATCCAGTAAGTCCCTCAGGTACTTGGCCAAAAACACACACCCCAAAAAATCCATTGCACTAATGTTCGAGGTTTGAAATTGCCACATTTGTGAAAGGCAGTTCTGCTTCTTCCCTTCACCTTCAAATGCCCACCATGCTTTCACTCAGGCTCCACAGCCGCTTGGCTGTATGGTCGTCTGTGGCTTTGGAAAGCAATTGTTCTTCTTTGCAATTAGCAAAGCATTTTCCAGACACACCTTCAACTTCAGACGAGCATGCCAGGTATAATGGGGTCTGAGCACCCTCCAGTGGGCTTTTGAAGAACAACCAAGACACCAGGAAGAAAAGAGGCTTGATCAGCAGGGGTATGTTGACGTGTCGGCCCAATCTGGTCCTCACGATACCCGGAGTGAGGGCATTTACAGTGACCCCGGTACCATCCAGCTTGCTGGCTAGCTCACGAGTGAAAAGTAGGTTGGCAAGCTTGCTCTGGCTGTAGCAAAAAGCCTTGTTGTAATTTTCTTCACTGTTCAAGTCCTCGAAGTTGATGCTGCCATACTTGTAGAGTTTGGAGGACACCACAACGATGCGGCTGGGAGCCGACTGCTTCAGGAGGTCGAGCAGGAGATGTGTCAGAAGGAAGTGACCTAGGTGGTTCACTCCCAGCTGCATTTCATAACCCTCTTCAGTCCTACTGTAAGGACACTGGTAGAGACCAGCGTTGTTGATAAGAACATCAATCCTTGGCTCCTCCTAATATTGTGACAGAATCAGGTTTAGAAATTTGAGTTCATACACATCCAATCACACTTTATTAATATTGCACCTACTGAAAATAAACATACAGTATGAGGCGGACTGTTTCTGAGGCAAGAATCAAAGATGGTGAAAACAATAACCCTCAAGGAGGCTGCCTGAGGACTACAGGGATCATTGGGACGGTGGCCATCTAAGGCCCTGTTTACACCTGGTATCAAGATGCGTTTTGGTCGATCAGATTTGAAGTAGACGAGGAAGACACTCTTTGGTCCACTTTCAACAATTTCTGTCCTGATTTCTTGGAGGGGAGGGTCTATGGGCGGATACATGTATGAACCTTTTTTAAATATTTCAATCTAATGGACAAAATAAGCTAGGGCAATTTACATATTCACAACTGGAGAAGACAGAAAAACATACAGAGAGCAGTATCTTTAGTTTCTGCTTTGACAGCCGCTAAGATGACGCCATGTTGATGATGCTTGTTCATGCGTTAGGTCAGTTGGCGGAGAGTAGGTGGACTTTTGCAGGTGTTTGAATGCATTTGATCACATAAGCGTCTAGTACACTACGAAAGCCATGCGTTTTTGACTACCCCTGGAAGTGGTCGAAAGTGGACAAGCTCAAAACTTTTTAGACCCAACTTACACTTGTATTTAGCGTCGTCCACTTGTGAACGACAATGCATCTTAAAACCAGGTCTAAACAGGGCCTAAGAGGGAAAACCTTTTCTATTTTTGCTATTCTATTTTCAGAATTTCGCGTATCTAGGCATTTATGCACTGCAGTGCAGAACATGTCAATTAGAATAGCTTTATTTAAATATCTTATACACATGCTTTAAAGGGGTCATAAATTGAGAAATCAAACTTTCCTTGATCTTTTGACATGATATAAGAGGTTATTGTACTATAAAATATCCTACAAGTTTCAATTCTCAAAACTTCCTTGTTAGTCCAAAAACAGATTTTATTGAATCAAAGCTCCCAAAATGACTCATTTTGTATTTTGTCTGAAGTTGAAAGACTGCCTCTGCAGAAAAAAGATCAATGGCTACTTCTACATCATTGCTTTGTTTAGCCCCGCCCACCAATTCATGGATGTCATGTCAATTCACAGGATCGAGCAACAAAACGATAGAGATGTCTCTGAGGATTAGAAGACGTTTTGAAGTGCCTTTTAGTATGCAAAGCTGCTATCCAATCATATCAATGGGCATTTACTTCTTGAAGTCTTGAATGCAGCACGCCTATCAAAGAGAGGGTCAAAACAGGATAAAAAAATAGCCTATTACTTATAAATTAGGATGTTTTTTATGTCAAATTATAAATGGACCTCAGAGGGAAAAAAAATAATGACCCCTTTAAACCTACATACAGGACATCAGGGCTAGTTATTACATTAACTGTATCCTATATGTCATCTAAAAGGTTTTGAGTCAAAGTAAAACCATGCTGTCATGCTTTATATCATATAGGTCACATATGTTTTATGCCATCATTTCATGTATTCATTAATTACAATTTCTGTTGACCAAAATAATGGTTTGACAATTTAATTCATTTCATGTGATTTTTTGTTGTTGTTAAATTTCACTGAAAACTATTAATCTTTAAATTGTGTAAACCTAAGCCAATTTAATGTGACTTCCTTCTCAATCAGGGTAGACCTTCATAAAGTGTCAATAAAATTAATAAATATGTTTTTTTTAATAGCCAATTATGGTGGAAATATAGACAGGTGCCATTTATGAGCACAACATGTATCAACGTAACAGTATACCACAGATACTATGCTGTATCAAAATAATATATATTTTAATAATAATACTATTATGAAATGCCTTTAATATGTCCTTGTAATTAAATAATTATTAAGAAGGTCGATAACACCACAGTTTAATTGTGCTAATAATTGTAGTACCTATGTAGTAGTGATATCATATTTCAGGACATTTGCTTGACCTTTACTTACACAACATGTAAGTTAAACGTTATAACACTCCTAATTGCTGATATGGACTAATTCAGTCATTTTCTCAATATATTTTGCACGGTTTGTGCTATTTCTGCATTAATTAATACTTCATAGTGCAGTAGCCTATATTTAATGTCAATGCAACACAGTTTAAGTGACTGAACGAGAAGGTGAAAAATGTAAACAAACCCTGATAACTTCCTCGCAGAAGCTGCGCACAGAATGGAGCGACGCGAGGTCCAAGTGTTTGATCACGATCTCTCCCTGATTCGGACCGGCCTGATTCTTGATGTCCTGGGCCGCCTCTTCAGCTCTCTGCCTGTCCCGACAGGCCATGATCACACGGGCCTGCAGCTTCAGCAGCTCCGCTGCCGTCGCCTTCCCGATGCCGCAGTTCGCCCCGGTCACTATCACGGTCTTTCCGCGCATCAAAGCCGTTGGGTAACGCAGTAATTGCATTGCTTTCCGCCTGAAGAATATTCTCCGGGCAATGAAGAGAACCCCACCGCCGAGGACAGCGGCTAAAACGACCGCTGCCGACATCAGTGCAGTGCAGGAATACCAAAGTGTTGAATAACAGCGTGTACACGAGTGAGAGCCGTGGACCACATTACCCAGAATGCACTGCTTTGTTATGGTTGAAAAATCGGTTGAAATATCGTTGAACTATGTACTTCCATTGAAACAAATAATTTGATACAATGGACTTAGTGTGTGTGTTTTTACATTGTACTTATATTTTTAAAATACCAGCATGTAATTTGGCTACAGCTGTAACTAATTTATACATCTGTAATTACACAGCTGACCCATCCCTTACACTTCAACCTACACTTGTCCCTAACCTTACCCAGATCACACCTCAATAGCAGCAAAAAGTGTTTTACAATACAACATGAGCACAAGTACATTTTTTTCCAATGTACAATTAGAATGTACAAGTACTTATTTTTCCAATGTAAGTACATAGTAAAGCCACTTAATATAAAGTGGGACCGTTTTGAGGAGGTTGACGGCTACAGCATGAGTATACCTTATATAAGTTATAATCTTTTAAATGTATAATATAATCCTAATGTTATATTCTAGATAGTTTAGGCCTATTTTAAAAAATATATATATATTTAACTTGTATTTGTTTGTTTGTTTGCAGCAGTGAAAATCCATCTATTCACACTCCAAATCGCTTATCTTTTTATATAGGGTCGCGGGGATTGATGTAAAAATATTCAAATAAAATTTAGTTGTATTATTTATTATTATACGATTAGACCTATATCATATTCATTATAAAAGCTTCTTTTTTTCTGCGAAAAAGTGAAATGAAACAAAACAACTGAATACACTTAACAATAATTTTTAATTACAAATACAAATATTTGTTTTTAATAAATGAACATATCTTAAGTGCAAAGTTTGTGTCAGTAATGTATAATAAATAAGTGTGCTAAAATGCTACACAACCAATCATATGTTAGAACTAATGACAAAAACGTTTTATTCTAAACTCAATTTTGTTGTAATCTGTAATTTAACATCACAGACAAAAAACAAAACAAAACAAATATCTTTATCTACTACATTCTTAAAAATATATATATAAAAAAACATACATAAATACAGCAAAAAAGGCTAAACATATATTTCTGTTAGTAATTAGTAATACTAGCTCATTTTGAGTAGAATTAGTATGTAAGTGGCACTCTATAGATTAAGATCAGTGCAGATTCAAGAAAGAGAGGAAGATTCAAAAGAAGTGGGCTAATACTGAAGGTTACTAATACTGATGGTGTGCTCGTGGCTCTTAGGACTGGCTTTCAGTGTTTGGGTCCTCGTATATGTAACTGCCAACACCTCCGGTATTAACTCCTGAACAAAAACAAGGAGAAAACATAATGCTCATATCATATATATACTGTATGAATGGATGAAAGTGGAAAATTTACCTTTTGGCCCAAAGAGAACGGCATAACAGGGTTTATGGCAGTAGGGCTGGCCATCGTGCTATAGTTTAAAACAGAAGACATGTACACTATTAAATAATACCTGTTTTCACATGTCATTTCAGTTTAAACCTGAGCTGTACCTTTATGATATTACAAACCACTGAGACATATACACTTCCTGAATATAAACAGCATGGTGCAGGGAAATATGTTTTTCAAATTGAAAATATATTCACGTAAAACCAACAAATGCTTATATATTACACAAAATAAAATTAATCATATCCATCATAAAAGTGCATCTATCCATCATAAAAGTGCATCAAGTGCATCTATCCATCATAAAAGTGCATCTATCCATCATAAAAGTGCATCAAGTGCATATATCCATCATAAAAGTACATCTATCCATCATAAAAGAACAACCATCCATCATAAAAGTCCATCTATCCATCATAAAAGTGCATCTATCCATCATAAAAGTGCATCAAGTGCATCTATCCATCATAAAAGTACATCTATCCATCATAAAAGAACAACTATCCATCATAAAAGTCCATCTATCCATCATAAAAGTGCATCTATCCATCATAAAAGAACAACTATCCATCATAAAAGTCCATCTATCCATCATAAAAGTGCATCTATCCATCATAAAAGTGCATCTATCCATCATAAAAGAACAACCATCCATCATAAAAGTCCATCTATCCATCATAAAAGTGCATCTATCCATCATAAAAGAACAACCATCCATCATAAAAGTCCATCTATCCATCATAAAAGTGCATCTATCCATCATAAAAGTGCATCAAGTGCATCTATCCATCATAAAAGTACATCTATCCATCATAAAAGAACAACTATCCATCATAAAAGTCCATCTATCCATCATAAAAGTGCATCTATCCATCATAAAAGTGCATCTATCCATCATAAAGAAACTCTATATTTTTTTTTATATTACTCCAATTGTCTTCTTCTGAAAGAAGAATGTCATACACACACCTCATATACACACACCTACTGTAGCATGACTTGATCATGGGCTGATTTTAATTTTGGAAGAACTATCCCTTTAAGGGTTAAAAGCACAGCAATAAAGCTGCCGTGTGTTTCTGTCGCTCACCTCTGCATGGCTGCCAGGAGCCAGAGTCTTCTTGCACCTCTCACAGCGCAGACAGGGTCTGTGCCAGTCTTTACCCAGGGAACTGACCTTTTCAGCTGAAACACACAGGAAACACAGGCCCTTCTGTAAGCATCAGTCGACCACAACAAAATGCTAATGTATGACCTGGCACTGCTGAACACACATGTCCCTGCACAAATCCATTTTTGGTGAACTTTAATGTCTGAATGTCAGCGCTTACCAAAGTATACAGTTTTGTTGCACCTTGGGCAGATGTTCGGCTCACCAGAGAACGAACTGAAACTTGCAGCTGGAGGAAATTAGGCGAATAATTATTTTTATACACAGCATTTGTTTAAATAAGAAACTTTTTTTTTCTTACAAATGTTAGGCAATACAATACGAAAGTCATTGTCACCACTGACATTGTTCTAAAGAAACACAGAAGTAGATTTTAATGCTAAGACATTATTGGAGTGTTCTTTAAGACAAGACACTACAGGCAAAAACATTTAGGCTTTTCATAACATGCTTTTTCAAATACACTTTTAAAGGGATAGTTCACCCAAAAATGATTAATAAAATAATTCACCAAAAAAATAGAAATAAATTATGAACTTAAGTTTCTGTATAATTATCTACAGTATTTCAGTCAAACTCACCCTTCACTGGACCCCTGGTTGCCTTTTTCTCTTCAGCCTTGGGTTTGGTTTCCATGGCAACAGGGGCAGCATCGTCGTTGACGGGTGCTTCATAGACATATGATCCCGCCCCACCAATATTCACACCTACAGACAGAAGACAGTCGCTTCTTTTCTGATTCTGTCTTATGGGAGGTTTTTAAACATTGCAAGAATTCAACGTGGGCTTTAAAACCATGTAGTGTTAATCAATATCTCAAGATCAGAGATTTAAGAGATGAAACTGCCTCTCTGTCTCATTAAAAACTGTAGCATCAAAGGAGAGAGTGTCCTACTTGCTGCAAGCCCCACAAATTATGAATAGTTGGATCCAAGACATTAATTAGATGTACTGTACCTTTGGGTCCATAGAGGGCAGCATAGCATGGCTTGTGGCAGTATGGTTTCCCATCATGCTGTTAACAGTGGAGAAAGCACATCACTGAGATTAATTAGGCATCCAGTTCCTGCCATCCTTGTCTGCTGTCATCAAAAATTAACACTCATGCTGTCCAAAGATTAGAGCATGAAATATTCTGAACATCGAAAGAGCAAACATCTGTACCGGCCCTTGTGAAAAAGACTTATTACAGAAATAATTTACTTTAAAAGAACATCCTTAAGTGTAAAGTGAATGTTTTGGACACTTAACAGCATCTTACATCTAGTTAGTGTTATAGAATTTATAATAGATGCATTTAGTTTAAATTAATAGTGCTTTTTTGACCCACATACAGTAAGTCCATAATATTGGTATTTTCTCTAAGGAGGCAAGGGAGGCAGTGCCTCCTCAAAAAAATGAATGAGAAAATAATCCATATTCCAAAAATAAAACAGCGGGTAAAGTTACAGTGGGACACTGCGTGTGTCTTGCCGCCCCTGAGCCCATTGACTTTTAACAGAGCCTCTAAACCATGCGGTGGGTTTAGTGGGGGGTAAGTGAGAATGAATGGGGAAAAGTCACGTGAGAGGAGGCAATGCCTCTGAGGGGGTGAAAGTGGTACTTCTTCGTGTCTGTGACAGACAGTGTTTACTAAAAAATTTAGGGGCTAGACTGTTGAGAGCTTTGTAAACAAATAATAGTATTTTAAAATCAATTCGGTATCGGACTTGCAGCCAGTGCAGAGAGCTTAAAATTGGTGTGACATGATTTCGTTTGCGGCTTCCCGTGAGCAGACAGGCAGCCGCATTTTAGACCACTGGGAGATGAGAGATGGGGGATCGACATACAATGAATTACAGTACTGGGGGGAACTACACTACTGCAGCTAAGAGATCTAGAGTCCAGCCCTGCTGAAAAATCCAGCTAAAACCGGCTGGTTGGCTGGTCTTAGCTGGTTTAAGCTGGAAGTAGCTGGTTTTAGTTGGTCACCCAGCCTGGCTTAGCTGGTCAACTTGGTAACACTTTAGAATACGGTTCCTTCGTTAATGAATAACTACACAAGAACTAATGAGTAACACAATATTAACAATCTAGTAACTATTATTAACTAACAAGAAACTCTGATTAATGAACTAGTAAGTAATAGCGCACAGACGAAAGTGGTAGTTCACTATTAAGTAATCAATAACTACTATTTTTTTAATACTTCCCAGAGAACTACTGAAAAAGTTTATTAACAATCTAGTAACTACTATTAAATAAAATAAATTCTTATTAACGAATTAGTAAGTAATAGCTCACAGATGAAAGTGTTACTAGATACTTCTGTGGGAATTACAAATTATTTGGATTCGTATTATAAAGTGAAGATCATTGGAACTAACTGGTAATTACTCAAGTGTTACTAAAGACATTTTCTAAAAGTTACTAAAGTTCACCAAAAATCTCAAACGGTTGCACAAATCATGACTATCATGTAGTAACACTTGAGTAATTACTAGTTAGTTCCAAAAATCTTCACTTTATAATACGGATCCAAATAATTAGTAATTCCCACAGAAGTATCTAGTAACACTTTCATCTAATTCGTTAATAAGAATTTATTTTAGTTAATAGTAGTTACTAGATTGTTAATAAACTTTTTCAGTAGTTCTCTGGGAAGTATTAAAAAAAATAGTAGTTATTGATTAGTTAATAGTGAACTACCACTTTCGTCTTTGCGCTATTACTTATTAGTTCGTTAATCAGAGTTTCTTGTTAGTTAATAATAGTTACTAGATTGTTAATATTGTGTTACTCATTAGTTCTTGTGTAGTTATTCATTAACGAAGGAACCGTATTCTAAAGTGTTACCGTCTCCCAGCCTGACCAGCTAAGACCAGCCTGACCAGCTAAAACCAACTTGACCAGCTAAGACCAGCCTGACCAGCTAAAACCAACTTGACCAGCTAAGACCAGCCTGACCAGCTAAAACCAACTTGACCAGCTAAGACCAGCCTGACCAGCTAAAACCAACTTGACCAGCTAGGACCAGCCTGACCAGCTAAAACCAACTTGACCAGCTAAGACCAGCCTGACCAGCTGAAAAAGTGTTCAAAACGCCTCTAAAACCAGCCTGATAAACCAACTGTAACCAGGCTGGGAGACCAGCCAAAACCAGCCAACCAGCCTTGGCTGGTTTTAGCTGGATTTTTCAGCAGGGTGGCTCTTTTGTCTCTTGAACTCTTGGCTTTGTATGATTAACAGTATAGCTAATGAATTCCATTACACACGAGTAGATGTTAAACTTCATGCAGATTTGTACTCAGTTTTCGCCAAGATAAGCACAAATTAAGACGTAGCTTTACAGTAAACTATGTTTCTCCATCCATTTACGCTTCTTTCCAAATGGTGGTGTGACTCCCCTTCTGTCCGGCGTTAACAGCAGCAGTTTACTTGACGTGTCAGTATGCTACAGTATGGTCTCCCCAGTGGACCAGCACCACATCCGTCTGGATTGAGCCGAGTAGGGGACATCTCTAGGGTCTTCAAGTGGGCACCTTCCATCCTCAGTGTTTCGTCGATTAGACACCTCAAGAGGGCTTGACAGTGATTCTGGCGTCCCAGAGTCACCCCTCGTAGTTCACATGTGACCTAACCACAATCTCACAATATCTCCGCAACCCAACCATACGCGCCAACCCGTTTGACTAAGACTGTCGAGCCCCACTGTCTTTGTTAAAGCAGTTTCAGTGCCAACCGTTTTCATATGGCATACCACCTACCGCAAAACACAATACCTGCCCGAACACCACCCGTCATTCATGCAATATAGAAAGGAACGTAATGACTATAATTACTATGCAACCTATACAAATAAACCAACAGACTCTTCAAGTTTTTCAAGAATTCTACGAATCCGAATCTGAACAATTCGGAAATCTGAATGGCTGTTTGAAAACATGTAAATACTGTTTGGCTTTTTTCCCCCGACAAGCAGGTTAGAAACAGAAAGTCGCACAACACTGTTTTGTCGACCACAGCAACCAGGATGACAGCTATATTTCTGCTTTTCTATAACAGCCACCTGTGAAAGAGTTTTCATGTTTTTGCATTGTTGCTATTGTGTTGATATTTGGAACAGCACTCTTGCTAATGTAATATTACTTACTTTTATACAATTTCAGACTGTAAACCAATATTAATATACAGTAAGGAAAGGGGGGGTTAATGGGTTTTATCGTCAGCACTTTCTTTTTCTCAGTTGTTTAGCTGCCTTATGCTCACCTCAGCATGTCCTCCTGGATTCAGGGTCTTGTTACATCGTTCACACTTCAGACAGAATTTGTGCCAGTCTTTCCCCAGAGATGTCACTTTCTCGGCTACAAGACACAAAAAGATTTATCCTCTTTACAGATCATCATTTGTTCGAAGATGTACATTTAAATGATGGTTTAAGAGGCTCTTTGAATAAAAGTGAATAAAAAACTCTCCCCCCTGAAGCAACTATATTCATTATAACAATTGAGCTGAAATTACTCTGTAGAGACTCTTACTGTAATGGTGCCGTCAAAGAGCAGAGCTTCTATGAAATGGTGGCTTGAGTCTTGGTTGAGAAAAACGCTATGAACCACATCCAGATTTATTTCGATAACACATAGTTTGTTATGTTGCACATATTTAAGTCACCATGAAATCAAAATGGACATATAATTCTTATTTTGTTTATTGTAAATAATTGATCTGTGCACATAATTGTTTTTACATTTCATGTGCACTTGTAATCTTTAATAGATGTACCTTCCCCTCCTTCTTGCAGCAACATCTCTTCTCTTCTCTGATGTTTCATGGTGTGAGGGCGGGACAACCTGTCACTCACATGAGGTTGACCAATAGCAAACCACAACCGTCCAATCAATCAAATCCCGAACTTTTTTTGTTCGTGCAGCCGTTTCACACGAATATATGCCACAACATGGAATAAAAGACTATCACAGTATCACAGGCCTAATGTCCATCTGTTTACTGTCTCATAGATTACATCAGGGATATGTGGATGAGAAAGGGGTTCTTATCAAACCTGACCCCTTCATATCAAGGTCAGTATATTCCAGGCACATGCCTGAGGGAGCACAGAACACCCTCATAAGCCGTTCTTCACAGAGCAGACATCACATCACTTCAGTCCAGACTGAAGAACAGCACAATAACATTTTAGGGTCAAAATTAGTGAAATCCATTCAGGGATGTTTGTGGAAGTGTGTTTATTTTTATGTGTTCTATTGCAGGATGCTGCCTCAGGGTAACAAATCCATTTTCTTCACTTTGCAAGCACATGATGCATATAACACAAAACAGTTAATAAAGAAGAGGCGGCTTTGAATAAACCAATTAACGGGGTTTCTTTTTTTACACTATAAATTCTAGTGAAAAATTGTCTTTAAAAAACAACTTTTCACTGGCATGCTACACCATGTGAAAGGCACATTTTTAACGTTGATATTTGCAGTATGAGAAATGTTTCTTGAGCATCAAGTCAGCATATCATATTGATTTCTGAAGGATCATGTGACACTAAAGACTGGAGTAATGAAGCTGAAAATTCAGCTTTGCCAACAGGAATAGTTACATTTTAAAGTGAAAAACAGTTATTTTACAGTACATGCTGTTTTTACTGTATTTATGGATCAATTAAATGCAGGTTTGGCCCTATGTGTAATGCGTACAGTATATAATTAAATGCATCAAATTGAACGGAATGCAGTGGATTTGGACCCAGTCAATATAGAGAGTACACATATCCAACTTTTTAGAGAAATTCAGATAAAATTATTTTATTAAAAACTTCTTCTTTCTGGCATGTAGCACTTTGGCATCTTCCATTGGCATGTAGTGTTGTTTCTAGGCAACTAGCTAAAATTAATAGGTTGAAAAACTAAATGTTTTGTGGTGCAGGCAAATGTGCAGAGAGTTGAACAGACAGTAATTAGTCATTGTCTAGATTTGCTGTTCTGCTTGATATCCATTTAACCTGAGTATCAAATGAGCTACAGTATTTCCATATTGAGAATATGCATAGCAAATTTCAGTCTGACAGAATGTTGCAGAGGTCGCAAACACTTTAGAAACAAAACTGAAAAAGAGTATAAACTAATATTCTAATAATGGCTCATTTTCCATTGCTGTTAGGGCTTAGGGGTACGTTTCCCAAAAGCATCGTTAGCCAACTATGGTCGCAAGTTCCGTCGTTATCAGCATAGTTCAACGAGTCGGTGTTTCCCGAAACCATCGTTCCAACGAACATTCACAAATAGCATCGCAAAGTTGTGTGGTTTGATTGACAGCTCTCGACCTGTGGTTCGTTTCTATATTGCAACATATTTGGACGTAATAAATCCTTATCTTGAGCAAAATAAGCAAGCTTCCATTCAGTACAACCGGTGCCTTTTATTTAGAATACATACAAATGTAATTTACGTCTTTTAGTTTTTCAAAAGATTTGAAGTAACGTGTTTGAAGAGTGCCCATGTGCGAACGTGCTCTACTATGTAAGAACGAGCCAAATATTGAGTCTGGTAACAAAGCAAAATAACTTAGAACAATTGGAAATAGTCCTCAGATGACATGTCTGTAATTTATTTTTTAAAAATCTAGCGTTAATTGGATCTCAAACAGTTTTTTTAAAAGTAGTTATTAGTCCACCACGTGCGAAACCAACGTGGTTGAACGATACTTTGCGACAATGGATTTCGGGAAACAGTCGTGACTAGCTAATTGATTTCTCCAACGATGCATCGTACTATGGTAGTGAAGCAGCGAACTACGTCGTTGTACGGGAAACGCACCCCAGTGCGGTTCGGCTCGGCGCGACACGGTTTGGCTCGCTTTGCTTTTCCACTGCGTGGTACGACTCGGCTCGACACGACACTGTGCGGTTCGCTTTAGCTCAGTTGCTTTTCCACTGCAGCTAGTACCGCTTTAAAGTGGGTGGGATTATAGACTGATCGATAACAGCGGTGGCTGTCACTGGCTATTTAAATCTAGTGGGTTTGGTTTCTCGTGTCGATGTCTATTGGTCGCAAATACGCTGACGCTGGTACTGGCGATTCTGTCTGACCAATCAGTGATCTGCAGTGTTTCACGTCGCATTTAGTACAGGTACGGTACGCTTGGAAACTCAACAGACCCGGTATCATTTAAAGCGAGCCGTACCGTACCATGCAGTGGAAAAGTGCCAAAGAGTGCCATACCGAACTGAACCATACCGTACCATGCAGTGGAAAACCGCCATAACTTAAAGTCGGCATCAAACGAGACGATTGTATTTTCTTATATTCGAGTGAAATCGAACAAGACAAAAAGAGAGTGTGACTTGATTTTGACAATTGGGACAAGATTGAATCAGTGGATGGTTGTGGTTTGCTACTGGTCGATCTCATGTGAGTGACATCAGGTTGCCCCGCCCTCACGCCAGTAAACACATCATCAGATAAGAGAAGAGGGAGGGGATGTTATTTTGATTAAATATTACGAGGACATGAATTTAAAAAAAAAAAAAAATAGGATGTACATGGATTAATTATTTATAAATAAATAATGCATTAAGTGGCCATTAAGTGTTTTGTGGATGTGCAAGTGTATTTCATTTGACAAGAATTGTCCATTATGATTTCATGATGTCTTTTTGTTCAAAAAAAGGGTTTGTTTTAGCCTGGATGCCAGCCCGAACTCCGCCCACAACATTGTTTGGTCGGGAAGTTCGGTCTGGACTCGATCCATTGAGGAGAAATTATGATCAGACAAAAAATTAACAGGCCAATCAAATTGCCAGGGCGGGCTTTATACGATGATGGACAGATGATCTGCAGGGACGTAACCATCACGTTATCAAAGAGCGAGCGCTTGTCAAAGATGACTGCAGCTGGAGAATTGAGATGTATAGATTCCGCTGTCGCGTCTTTTGTAAAATAAATTGACAGCGCATTCATTTTAATAGACAAACAGAGAACTGCAATCAAGGCATTTGTCGATCGGAAAGATATTTTTGGCGTCCTTCCTTCATGATTCGGGAAAAGTGTAACTTATCAGCTGGCTCCGATGGTTGCTAAGAAGATGGGACGTAATGAAAAGCCTGTGGTCGTTGTGGTTTCTCCTTTGGTGGCACTCATGGAGAAGTAAGTAAAAGAAGCAACACTCGTTATTTAACTTCTAAAATAAATAAAGTTAGCCTACGTTCTGTATTTGAAAACTGCACTATGCAAAGGAGTTGACTTACTGCGTTGCTCTGATTGGTTGTAGGTCTACCGACTGTCCAATTGAGTGCAGAGGGTTTTTTTTTTCCTGGTTCGGTTATGACACGCCTCATAATCAAAGCCCAACTGAGGAGTTTCAGACTCATATTCTCTCTTGAATATGAGTATGATGAAGTCAGGCTAGGTTTGTTCACCCTAAATTAAAATTCTGTCATTAATTATTCACCCTTATGTCGTTCCAAACTTGTGAGACCTTTGTTCATTCTGACCCCCCTATAGACAGCAACGTCATAACCACTTTCAAAGCCCAGAAAGGTAGTAAAGACATTGTTAAAGACAACAATTCATTTTCTTCGTCAGTCTCTGACGCTGTACATGTTGTAAACACAGTGCAGGCTCAGAATTGGCCGGGTCCTGCGTTAACCGCGCATTTAGGCGTCGTGATGCTCACGTGATCAATGCAGAGACTGAGGGAAGAGAATTGTTGAATTTTTTGCAAACAAAAAGTATTCTCTTCACCTCATAATGTTAAGGTTGAACCACTAGTCACATGGATTATTTTAGCGATGTCTTTACTACCTTTCTAGGCCTTGACAGTGGTTATGACGTTACTGTCTATAGGGGGGTCAGAAAGCTCTCGGACTTCATCAAAAAGATCTTCATTTGTGTTTCGAAGATGAACAAAGGTCTCACAGGTTTGGAGTGACATTATTAATGACAGAAATTGGGTGAAATAACTCTTTAAGGACAAAAAGGTTATTACATACTGATTGAAGAGAGAAAGTCCTGCACACATCAGAGGATAAAGAAGTGGTTCGCTTTAGCCGTAGCCTTATGGCATAACTGCACAATTATGTAGGCACAAAGGGTGTTCCTCCACTGAAAGCCATTTCAAAGTAGCCTTGTGCCAGGTTGAGTACTTAAAGACTTTATGTGGTATTCAATTTAATAGGAATGCTTTTCCCAGGTCACACTACAGCTGTTCAAGTCTCATGAGAGCTTGTAGCAGCCAGAGACAAAGTAGATTCTCACATGTTAATTATTAGGCTATAGTGCTCAGTGGGAGGGAGTCAGAGACTCAGCATATGATATTAGCATGGATCATTTTTTAATCATTTTTTTAAGTCCCCCTGTGGTGAAAAATCAAGTTTTTAATGTTGTTTATATGTCTATGGGGTGTGTGTTTAAAAGAAGCCATGAGCAAATTCATTAGTCAACACCATTGCAGAGAATTTTCTCCTTAAAACTGCAGTGAACAAAAGACAGTCTCAAAAATACGGTCTGAAATCGCTGGTGTTTCTAACGTCACAAATGACCATGTAACCAATCGCGTCAACCTGTGATCGTCAACGAGTGGATCTCTGAGCTGGTGTGAGTGAATGGAGGCGGGGATATTTTGCATATTCATAGAACCGCGTATACTTAACACAGTCTCATCCCAAAAAGTCATATAACTGACGTTTTGGGACGTATTTTGACCATACGTCAATATCAGCCTTTTTAGGGCCCCCTTAAACGTTGGTAGATGGCGATCCCGGGCCGTCATACAACTGACGCTTTACCTTTAACGTCAGTTACGTGACGGGTTAGGTTTAGGGTTAGGTTTAGGTATGGGGTAGAGTTAGGATCCCATAACCTCATCTACCGACGTTTAAGGGGGCCCTAAAAAGGCGAATATTGACGTATGGTCAAAAGACGTCCCAAAACGTCAGTTATATGACGTCTTGGGGTGAGACCGGGTTGGTATACTACATGAGACAAGGGTGTAGAGTTACAGTCAAGCTAATTTAAGGCAAGACGAAATTTGTTTTCAAGGATAAAAAAATGTAATTTTGGTGATCAAAGATAAGTTTTAAGGGATAACATTATTGACTATAGGTGGACTTTAAGATGCGTTCTGGTCGATCGGATCTCAACTAGACGAGGGATACACATTCCCGTTTGCACCTGATGTTTTAACCCTTGTCTCTTTTGTCCACTTTCAACCACTTGATTTCTTCAAGGGGAGGGTCTGGGCAGGTACAGTAAATGGATGTTTTTTTTTACTAAACGAAAGCAAAAAAAAAAAAACACAAAGCAGAAAAAAATACAAGGAGAGCAGAAGTTTTAGTTTCTGCTCTGAAAGTTGCTAAGACCATTCCAAATGCTGTGAGTGTGTGTTAGGATAAAGAATAGTGAGAGAACATTGTGCTTGGTACGTTTTTCGTCGTCCAACCAAACCGGAAAAGTTTAAGTCCCATCTGGGTAGTGTGCTTCCCGCAATGTTTACACATTGGCTCAGTAGGCAGAGAGAGTAGATAGTCTTTTGTGGCTATTTAGATGCATTTGACCACACTAGTGTCCACGCTATGAGAGCAATGCGGTCGAATGTGGAAGAAAGTGGACAAAAAACAGGTTTGTGTCTCCCCGTTCAACACTATCTCACGACCAATTCGTACGAATTCGACGCATGATTAAAAAGTGGCTAATTCGTACTAATTCGTACGACCTCACTCGTACTAATTCGTACGATTTGTCTTAACCCACGTGATGGTTAAGTTTAGGGGCGGGGTAAGGGGTAGGTCATTCGTACGAATTCATACGAATTGGCCAATTCGTAAAATATGTACGATTTAGCAAAATCGTATTAATTCGTACGAGTGAGGTCGTATGAATTGTTACGAATTAGCCACTTTTTAATCATTCGTCGAATTCGTACGACTTGGTCGTGAGATCGGGTTGCCCCGTTCTACTTGTGATCCGATCTTAATACACATCTTAATACAGGTGTAAACAGGGCCATGGTTTGTTGCTGAAAACTAATGCGGTTCATTTAGGCTACAGTGTTTTAGTATAAAAATGAAACCTTATAAGTTTTACCAAAAATGTATTCTAGCAGACAACTGTTAATGATAAATAATAAATAATGACTAATTACATATGGACAAATGCCAAACGACACTTGCAGTTTAAAATAAATTTCCATCTATTCAACAAGAGAAGATAATGAGGAAGACAAAAGCAGAGCACTGTTTAACATAACCCAATAAATCAAAATGTGGCACACACTACATTCACAGGAGGCTTTTTGAGAATGAAAGGAAAGTAAAGGCCTATAAATAATGCATAGACTGGGCAGAAGAGTGTAGAATGTGTTAACTGCATTAAATGGGTCAAAACCAGATTAAAACTCAATGTTTGATCTATAGTTATGCATTTCAGTTTGTGGTGGTGTTGTATTGGCTGATGCTAATTATGTCACTCATAGCTGATCACGTTTAAAAATGAAAAGGTATTCAGTCTAGTACATGTATAAATGAATATTAACCTGAGTTTTATATTGAAAATCCACTTGATTTTTATAGGCTATAGTCACATAGCCTAACAAAATAATATAGCCTAAACTATGGGGTTCTGAGCTGTAAGTGTCATCTAATACACAGTTATATACTTTCATTCACCCCGATTGCATTTCATGCGTCATACAGTATTAATTCAGTAATAACCAAAACTCTCCCTCTTGTTCATGGCGATTTCCATGATAGGCTATTTATTTCACTGCACCACTTCAATATTCATTGTATCTCAAATCTCAACAGATAAAATATTTTTATTAGCTGCAGTGTCTGTAATCAGGTGTACAAATCTTAATCATAAAACGTAATTAATTTAGTAAGAATATCGTGCACCCGTGATTAGTCAGTTAATTATGAAGCCCACACTGGGTGGTTTGTGGATGTTATTTACAACGCATACCACGATAAATGAGAATGAAAGTATAGGCTAAATTCACTCTATCATGACATCTACGTTGCAGACAGCGTGTGCATTGTTTTATTCATGGAATTTTGAAAAGGAAGCAAAATTGACGACTTACCAAAATAAACAGTTTTGTCACATTTGGGACATTTTGATGCCATGTTCCGTGCAAAGCTAGGGTTTCCTTTTAATATGAGCAAGTTCTCTTTAATTTAGATCTGGCACAGTATATGCGACTCCTTCGTCCTGATCCTTCGAGCGCGAGCGCATCCTCTCTTTCAACATTGCCAGCGCGAGCGCGGATCCTCCCTCGATGACGTCAGGGGGCTAGTGAATGTGCTCTCCCTTCATTTCATTAAACTACTGATGTCTGCTCTCTCCCCCTCTGTCTGCAGAGCTATACAGCACAGACATAATGGAAATGATATAACAGATTATATAATTTATATATTAATATACACATTTTAATATACAAAACAAAACTGGATGAATACCTTTTCATGTATTTTATGTGAACAGCTTTGAGGGAATAGGGGATTTGATCAACCAATAATACAACACCACACATTTAAATGAATAAACTGTATAGACTATCTCATTTAAGATGATTACAATTTTGAAATCGAGATCTCATGCAGCTATGACTGAGAGACCTACTAAATTATTTAATATTTTTACTGAATAATTAAATGTCATTTAAACCCTGTTTCTTTGTCAATGTTCTTCAATCAATGTGCGGATTCCAAAACCAATATCAGGTGACAGTAACATGGCTGCTTATCCTTTATTATATGGTGTGGAGATATTTTATGTGTCAGTAATATATTTGAGACTTTTGCCCTAAATTTTATTATCTTGAATTTATATTTTATATTTCCAAATAGTAGCTAATATAGGGGTATGACACACTCTTACAAATAAAGGTTCCAAAAGAAGCATTTTGGGTTCCCCAAAGAACATTTCAGAGAACAGTAGTTAAGTCCCCCTGCATCCAATTGTATTCCTTAAAACTCATATTTTATGCTCAAAATTATTTATTTAAATGTTTTTTCCCCTGTGAAATGAATATGCAAATTAACTTTACTATAGTTAACGCTATACATAATTGCAAGTGGAACCATTATGTATGGAACCATTAAGAGGAAGAGTGAATTATACAGGGTTGTCTACAAATAGTAACGCGTTTTATGTAGTCTATCGCGCAACGTCTGACATAACGGTATGATAAGCCTTTGGCTAACAGCTAATTATATGTTGCTAATGTTACACAAACCATGTTCCCATTCGCCATCTTAGAGTTAGACAGCTGCCTCCTCCTAACAACCAAAATCCTTAGAAACGCTTTAAAAAACTTAGAAAGTCAATGGAGAAAAGCCCTGCCCCTCTCATGATGGGATTGGCTACATGGTTGTGACGGTAGGAGACAGGGGTGTGTCAAACTGCCTTTTTTGAGACTGTCTTTGGTTCTTTGGTTCACTGCAGATTTAAGGAGAAAATACTCAGCAATGACTTGATGAATTAGCACACGGTTTGTCTTAAAGCATATTAAAACACCACATAGACACATAAAAAACATAAAAAAACTTCACCTTTAAAGTCACTTTAAATTAGGCCTTGTTTTAAAGTCTTTAAAACAAGGCCTAATTTGAAGTGACTTTAAAGGCCCACTGAAGTGCCTTGAAACACAGCATTATTCAATGTGTTGAAGTACTTTCCACTGAGACTGGAAGACAGGGCGGGGCATATCGAGCAGCTCCTCCCCCTTTTTGAAAATAGCCAATGGCTTTTTGTTTATATAAGTTCGACCAGAGCAGTTGAGCTTGGTAAAACCACAGTTTCCTCATAATCTCCTCCAAAATACAGCATTCCGTAGAATTCAAATGGGATTGTTGTCTGCGGCGGCTCGCGCATACTGTGCTATCGTGTCTCTGGAATGTAGTAGACTGAGTCCGAGCTGTGTCACGTGACACTAACATGAAACCAGACTTCATTCGCCCCCAATGGATATCATATTTATACTGTCCCGTCCCCTATATAGTGAACTATTTGCCATTTACCATGTGAACACGTGATCAGATTAAGTGTCTATTTGGGGGAGGGGCTTTATATTCTAGAGAGCATTTGATTGGACAGGAAATGTGATAAGAAGCTAAACTGCAGTGATGTCATCAAAATCATTAATCCATTTTGACGGAAGTGAGAGGCGTTTTGAACATTTATGTCTTCTAAATGTGAATTTTGTTATTGTTTTAGAGCACACTATAGCTTATAGATTAACAGTAAGGTTGCAAGGGTGGTTGCTATGGTGTTGCTATGTGGTTGCTAGGGTGTTCTGGGTGGTTACTAAGGTGTTGCTAGGTGGTTGCTAGGGGCTAACATATTCAAAAGCCAAAAAACGTCAGCATTGTCTTCATGGCCATGTAAAGGACAGAATGAATAAATCCCTCACACACATGCTGTTTTTAACTTGCTTATAAAAGAGAAAGCAAGAGAAAGAGTATGGTGTATGTGTGAGATACAAATGAAGAGAACGCAACTGACATTTGTCAAACTGTTTGCATTTATCCATTTTGACCCTTGTATGCCATTACAGTGCTGTTTACTGAACTAGAATAACAAGTGAACAAATAAAGTAAATCAATAAATGAAGGAAGCCCTGATAACAATGAACAGGGCCATTTGGTGTAGACAGAAACAGGTGGATCATGTTGTTGAGCACAAAAAACTTTAAACATCGGTTCAGGACGACTGATTTTGTTGAGAATGTTTCGCTTTATAAAAGTCCTGCATGTTTCTGTATTTCAAACAGTTTCTCTCACTGGGTATTTATAATTAACAATTGACAAAATGATGTTTTGAGTTCTCTTGCATTCAATACTGCAGTAATTCTTCTCAGTCTATTTTAACCAGACCTTGGCGGTGGATCGTTTGCCAAGTGTCATGGACAGGCTGCTTATCTCTATCAGGTACAGAGATAGTGAAAGACAGGCCCGATGCTTTGTCCATACATGGGTCTCCTGAGTGTCCCAGTCAAACTTCACACCGGCCATCAGATGCCATGAGAGAGCATTCTCAAATACTTGTGTGGCTCAAATGGCATGACAGGTCAGAGAGTTTCTCTATAGGGCACGTCTTTCCAAAGGGTATTTGAGGCAGTTTGATTTGATTTTAGATGTTAAAAATATTTCTGGAGCTGATTTTATCACAATGATCTCCTCTAAGAGTTGGTCATCTGATGTAGAGACTATTATGCACTACAAAAAAAGGCTCTAATGGCTCTAAACTATTAACAATTGGTACTGTGGCTCCCACACATTTATCATTTTTTTAAAAAAGAAAAGGGAAATGCTTTAAATTTGTCATCTCACTCCCTTGCATTTTTAGCCAAGTGGAACGTTGGAACTCTTTTCTCTCTCTCTCTCTCTCTCTCTCTCTCTCTCTCTCTCTCTCTCTCTCTCTCTCTCTCTCTCTCTCTCTCTCTCAAAAAAAACAAAACAAAAGAAACAAACAAAAAAAAAAAAACGGTACAAAAGCTGTCACTGGGACGGTACTCTTTCAAAAGGGTCTATATCTGCCTATATATGTCTATAGGTCTATATGTATACGTACACTTTTGGTACCAATATGTACCTTTGAGGTACTAAGATGCACTAAACATGTTATGACAACATGTAAAACAATTTAACTTCAAAAAAACTTACAAGATTCAACTATTTTTTAATCAGTTTAATTTAAGTTGATTTTACTTAAAACCTAAACTTTAAATTGTTAGATCTGCTGACAGTTTTCTGTCTCTTCTCTTTGTTTAGACCCTGAAATTGGTTGAATCTTACCACACTTCTCCTCCATGCAGGTGTAAATTAAGTCTCTTCTCAAGAAAATTCCCAGGATTATTAAAATGAGGAAAACATAAAAAGACCTCAATCGTACTGACGTCGAGAGGGCAGAGTTGACAGCGAGGCATGACAAAAATAACTTAGGAGGATCACCAAGGTTATCAAAACATTAAGAGGTTTGTTAGGAAAGCATTTAATCAAGCCAAAACAAACAATATGGTAAATAGGATTATGATTTCAGATTTAAACCAACATTCTTTAGTTATAAACACAACATCATCATTATTATGGCATCCCAATGTTTAATCAATAACATTTTTCAGTCATTTTGTTAATGTTCATCAAGAGTGGCCTCTTGAAAATGATTTTTGTCATCATTCATTCATGATATAATATCACATAAATGTAAATGGAAGAAATGTAAACACTCATTTATTTTAGTTCTTCATTATTTTGTGAAAATATTTTGAAGTTTAAAATACTTTAAACCTTATGAAAATTAACCATGGTATTTATACTACAAATAAAACCAACAAACTGTTGTTATTGTAGTTGATGTAAACCATGGTACCCACAAATAACAACATGGTTTTATACACTAGTTTAACCATGGTATGTGTAATACAACTGTGATTATACAAATTGCAATCAGTCTGCCCAAAACTGTTTACTAACACTTTTACTGTAATAATAACACAGTTATTTTTTTGTTTTAAAAATAACCATGGCATTATTAGGCTACAGTAAAAGTGTAGTAAACTAGGCTAGAAAAGACAGTATGCTCAACTACAATATGGCAGAATATTTACTATTTTAGCACTTTATTGTCCTGATTTACATTTTTGTTTATGAGCCATATTACTAGGGGTTTTTCATATTAGTATTATAAACTACATTACCCACAATCCACATGCGCTGGGTTTTTTTTTTTTTCGTTTCCGGGCGCGCTTCGCAAAACTCATAACGGTGTTTTATTAAACCAAAACTGTCTGTATCATGTATACAGTCGTCACCGAACGTTGTCATTTAGCCTATTATAGTTATATCACGATTTCATAACTCTTAGTTAAGGCTCTGTATATGTATGTCAATGGCAAGCAAGAAGTTACGGAGGACGGGCGTCTCAGCTGATGTCTGCGAGCGACTCAAGCGGCATCAGGTGGAAACCTGCCAGGTAACAGAGTTCAACCTTCCTGACCTGCTCTTTTATCATACTAATGCCCAGCTGTTGGAGGAACCGTCATACAGTGAAGACATTTTAACTCTGTCCTTTAGGATGTTCTGTCCGCCACTCCCGTGGAGCTCATGCGGCTGGCCGGACTCAGTTATTCCGCTGCTCTGGAGCTCCTGCGTCTGGTCAGTAAAGCTTGTTCACCGGCCTTGAGAACCGTAAGTCACTCACACACAGCATCACTGTTGACTTAACGAGCGAAGCCTTGCATTAGGAGTAATGTTGTTTTAATGGCAGGCACTGGATTTATGGAGGAAAAAGGGAGAGCTGTGTTTCTCCACATCACTACCTGTCCTGGACAGGTTACTGCAGGGAGGTCTGCCACGGGGTGCTCTCACTGAGGTACAGTGGTCTACTTCTGTATCATTCTTAATAATTGACAATATTTACTCCCCCTCATGCTGTTGAATCCCGTTTTTACCACACAAGGAAATGAAAGTATCTTGTAAATTACTATTATGATATTTGAAACTATATGAAACAGTTGAAACTAAATCCGGATGCACACTATGGGTTAACTTTTTGACTATTATTCAAATAAAAGTTTTACTGTATCATAAATTGATGAACTTTTGCTTAATAACAATGAAAAAGTTGTAATTTCTCTCATCACTAATCTCTCTAACTTAAAAAAGTCATCCTAGATAAACAATTGGAACGACCATAACAGATGTTACTGCTTATAAGTAACTAGCCCTTCCTAAAACTTCCTACTACAACTGTTTAGAACTCTCTGGAATTTTCTAGAACAATCAAAATCTCGGTATATAAGAGAGAGAGAGAGAGAGAGCAAACTCAACTTGATACTTTTTGATATTTGTTTCAATAGCTATAATGTTGCACAAGATAAGTGATACTACCTTACAGAAGAACAAGGCTATCTGGAGTCTGGACCAATCCACAAGTTTCCTACGCCCCATGAGGCCTTGCGTCAAAAGTGGGCGCGACTTCCGGTTGGAAGTAAACAAAGCACGATTTGACATGCTTGACACTCGTTCATTCAACAGTTGACAGTCATTCAAGTTATAGCGATCCAAACTAGCTAACGAAGTGGGAACACAACCTCAACGAAATTAAAAAGGGTGAAATAACAGTACCTTTACCCTCCGCAGTAGTTGATTGGGAGTATTATAATAACATTATTAATAATCAATACTGATCAAGGCATGGTGACAGACAGTTGTGCGAGCTGACAAACAATTCAAATAAAAAATACACACTTAGTCATTGTGCTTTGGAGTTTATTTAAAATTATAAATGAATGTGCTACTTGAATACATTAACTGGCACATTTGGTATTCTGTCAACACAGGCTTTGATCCTGAGTTTAGCTGTAACATCAGTAGAGAACAGCCAAACACATGCTGATAGAGTTTATAGAACATTAAGAATTTAAGCAAATGTACACAGGAAGATTCGTCGTCTTTTGGGAGGTGATGGAAACTAATGTTACAGTCGTTGGCAGGATCACTCTGATTTCGTTTTCAGCTTATGTTCAAAACAATCACGTTTAAGCCACTAAATTAGTTAAGTCCGGCTATACATAGAACCGCGAACAGCACATGTTGTCCCTGAGCTCCGTAACACCATCTCTCATAAAGATTTGCGTCTTTAAATAGTAAAATAATTCTCCGAAAAACAGCTAGCCTCTTCGCTAACTAACACACAAAATACCATTGGAATGCTACTTCCGCCGCATCACCGGAAGTTTCACCCACTTTATTTTTTACAGGAGCGCCCCTCGAAAACTTGTGAATAATCTTGCAAGATCTCAGCAGTCAAGAAGAAGAAGAAGAAGTGTGCCTTTAGAAGAATCTTCAGTAGAAGAAACGCGCAGAATGCCACATCAAATGCATATCAAGAAACAGTCGTAAATGACTTTTATAAATCGTACAGTGTGCATCCAGCTTAAGTCATAATCAGAAAAGTCGACTATGATGTAAAATGTTGAAATTATGATTTGCTAGTAGAAATGGTAGGGAAAAGTCATAACTAGAGATGCACCGATGTGTCGGCCGACAATATTTCTCGGCCGATTTTAAACTATTTAAAACCATCTGAATATCAGCTAAGCTATAGCATGAAAAAAGGCCTGTAACAAACTGATGGTGATATTGTGATAAAGTTCATTATTTTCCATAATGTAATGATAGAAATAAAACTTTCATATATTTTAGATTCATTGCACACCAACTGAAATATTTCAGGTCTTTTATTGTTTCAATACTGATGATTTTGGCATACAGCTCATCAAAACCCAAAATTGCTATCTCAAAAAATTAGCATATTTCATCCGACCAATAAAAGTGTTTTTAATACAAAAAAAGCCAAGCTTTAATGGCTATCATTTTATTTGAGTAAACTGTCTCTAAGTAATCATGACACTGTCTGTGTTCTCAGGTGACCGGCCCATCAGGCTGTGGAAAGACTCAGTTCTGTATTATGCTCAGCGTTTTGGCTACATTGCCGAAGAGCATGGGAGGTCTGGACAGTGGAGTCATCTACATCGACACAGAGTCGGCATTCTCTGCTGAAAGGTGTTAAAAACATTTGCACGCTCTCTCTGATCTGCACTTTTTTTGTTGTTCCTCTTAAACTAAGCATCTTCCTCTCTAAGACTGATAGAAATGGCACAGGCCCGATTCCCAGAATTTTTCTCGGTGAAGGAGCGTCTGCTGGAGATGGCATCTCGTGTTCATCTGTTCAGGGAATTGACCTGTCAGGATGTCCTGAATAGGTTAGAACACATCCCAAACACATAATATTTAATTCCAGTTACTGTACTTTTAAAATAATAGTTTTTAATAAAAAAATGACACTTGTCATTATATCCTTTTATTCATGAGATTCATGAGCTTTTTACGCATTTACTGTGGCTCTTTATTGTAAATCATGAAGCTTGCAATGCCAATGTCTTTGGTTCGATTCTAAGGGAATGCATTCCATGAAGTGATAAAATGTACACTATTAATCAAAATCAAACAATGTTTTTTAATGTCTGTCTTTAAATAAAACTAAAAAAAATCACAGATTTGAAATGTATGGAAGAGGATTAGGGCAAAGCAATAATCAAAAAATAAAACCATCTCAAGATTAAAGTAATTATAATGCGAGAAAAAGCTCTTTAAAGTTCGAGGATAAAGTCATTAAATATAGTCGTTGTGTTTCGAGAATAAAGTCGTTGTGTTTTGAGAAAAAAACTCGTTAAATTTCGAGAATAAGGTTGTGTTTCGAGAAAAAAAACGTGTTAAATTTCAAGAAAAAGTCGAAATACAATGTTGAGAATAAAGTCGTTGTGTTTCGAGAAAAAACTCGTTAAATTTCGAGACAAAAAGTCGAAATACAATGTTGAGAATAAACTCATTAAATATCGAAAATAAAGTCAGTGTGTTTCGAGAAAAAAACTTGTTAAATTTCGAGAAAAAAGACAAAATACAATCTTGAGAATAAACTGATTACATATCGAGAGTAAAGTCATGTTTCGAGAAAAAGACTTGTTAAATTTCGAGAAAAAAGTTGAAATTCAATCTTGAGAATAAACTAATTAAATATCAAGAATAGTCGTTGTGTTTCGAGAAAAAAACTTGTTAAATTTCGAGAAAAAAAGTCTAAATATATTTTTGAGAATAAACTCATTAAATTTCGAGAATAAAGTCATTGTGTTTCGAGAATAAACTCGTTAAATTTTGAAAAAAAGTCGAAATACAATCTTGAATAAAGTCATTAAATATCGAGAATAAAGTTGTTTCGAGAAAAAAACTTGGTAAATTTCAAGAAAAAAAGTCAAAATACAATCTTGAGAATAAACTCATTAAATTTAGAGAACTACTTTATTCGAACGAACAAACTAGTTTAATTTCGCATTATAATGACTTTAATTTTGAAATAGTTTTATTTTTTTAATATTGCTCGGCCCTAATTCTCTTCCGTAGAAATGCTTACACTCGTCTTTTGAATAAAAAAAGACAAAATATTTTATAATAAGGTTAGAATTATTTCTTGATAGAAATGAGATCAAAATTACATTTGATTTTAATATATAATAATCTATCAAAATAAATTCTGCCTTGGTGAGCATATAGACTTCTTTCAAAAAACATAGAATTTTAATTATTACAATTCAAATTACCTACCTTTACACTACCTTTCACCAGTAGTGTATAGAATAATAAATGCAACTGAATTAGCTTTGGATCAAAGCGTCTGCTAAATGCATGGATGTAAAAGTAAAATGTAAATGCAATGAATACAAATCCTGAATTTAAAATTGACTACAAGATCATGATGGTCTCTTATGGTAGGCCAGGCTGTATTTAATCTTGTGAACACACATTAGTGGGGCGTTTTATTGCTGCTTTGATGGTACACAGATTGGAGCGTCTGGAGGAGGACATAATTGGTTGTCGAGTGGGGCTCCTTATTTTGGATTCTGTGGCCTCTGTTGTAAGGAAGGAGTTTGACACGTCGCTGCCGGGTAATCTAACCAACAGGAGCAACTTACTGGGCCAGGAAGCTGCTGTACTGAAGTACCTTTCGCAGGAGTTCTGCATCCCAGTAAGATTGTTTACATGGTTGTGGATGTCTGAATTTTTCAAATATCGCACACTTGTAGTGAATCTTGTCAACCACAAGGTGTCGCTATACATTTATGTTTATGCATTTCAGTGCTGTGGTATAGGTCTCCTCTATGTTTCAAACACCAGAGGGCGTTAGAGAGCCCAGATGAATTAGAAAAACTCTCTAGGCCTGTTCACACAAAGCCTGCTCCTTTTCCATGTTATTTGATCTTGGGAATTTCCACACTACTTTAAGATCTTCAAAGATACTTACATGAAGCCTTTACTCACCTCCTGCATCACCAACACATTTATCTAGAAGAGGAAAGATAGGATTGCACCGGATTATGGTTTTCCACTTCCTTCTCATGAAGAGTGTAACAGCTGGAGGGCTGTTCCAGGATCAGGTTTTGCTCTGTCTGTATTCTTCTGATCCACTAGTTTACTACTGAATACATAAAGTGGGTCCCGAAAGTCTGAGCAAATTTATTTTTTGTATCATTTACATTTTTATGATTACTGTATAAAAAAAGTACAGTATAAAAATAATAGGAAGTTCATGTTAATGTAAGCTAATTGATTCTGTTGTTCTATTTACTTTTACTTCATTGAATACATATTTCTTGCAAATTATATTTAAAAAATGTACATTATTATTGCTATAGTTATAGAGAATAAATAAAATACTAAGAAATTCATGTTTATTTTTTATTGCTTTGTTTTTAATTTTTTTTGACATTTAATATCATTATGGAGAAACATAAAAATTAAGTTAACGTTAATTTATGTTAATTGCTTTTGTATTTCTATTTATTTTTGTTTTTATTTAATTAATATTCTAGCAAATTATGTTAAACATATAAGTTATTATTATTATCATCATCAAGAAATTTGTTAATTACACAGTTTAGCTGTATAGATAATCCAACAGACAATGCGTGATGCAGAACCAACAATCAGGAATAACTTTAATAAACACAGAAGAGAACACAACTATCATAACTGTAACAAAATGTTGAAATGAGGAAAACTGAGGGCCTAAATATCAACAGAACAGGGAACAGGTGTGTACAAATAAAAAAAACATGACAACTAGCACATCGAAAGCACATCCTCACGCTGTAAGCATGCAGCAGAGGCGATAGAGGGTTGTGAGGGGAAATGAGGTCCTGGAGACAGACATGACCTTTAAGGGGCTGGAAGAAGGGAATCCCAAGGGGGAGACAATGGTGGGAGGAGCCAGGGCGGAGATAGGAGGAACCAGAGTAGAGATGGGAGGAGCCAGAGGATGACCTAGAGCCAAGACAGGATGAAGGCCCAAAACAGAACTGATGGATGGAGGAGCCAGACTGGAGTTAGGAGCCTGACCGAGTGAGGTGGAGACTTGACCAGATGGAACCTAGGTGGAGCAGACAGGGTGAGAGACAGTGGGAGTGAATACAAGAATGAAACCAGAGTGGAGTGAGGCGCATCTGATAACTCGGAAGTCCAAGGCGACGAATGACCAAGGTGGAGCCAGAGGGACGAGGAAGCCCGGCAGAGCCTTGAGGGATGACAGGCGAGGGTGAAGCCTAGGATGAGCCAAGGTGGATTCCGGGGTTGGATGCTCGAGGTGGAGATGAGGGATCCACAGACCACAGCAGAGCTGTTGACTGGGTAACCCCAGGCGGATCTGTGCAGCCAGGCGGAACCACTGAAGGAGCTGAAGAGAAACAGTGGAGATGAGACAGAGAAACTGGATGGCTTTGGCAGAATAGGAGGAAAACGGCAGGACCATCTAGGATGAACGAGCTTTGGTGCTGGGCAGAGCCAGTGACATTACACCCCCAGAAAAGCACGTCCTCATGCTGTAAGCATCCAGCAGAGGCGATAGGGGTTTCTGGTGGAAATGAGGACCTGGAGACAGACATAACCATTAAGGGGCTGGAAGAAGAGAATCCCAAGGGCGAGACAATGGTGGGAGGAGCCAGGGCAGAGATTGGTGGAACCAGAGTAGAGATGGGAGGAGCCAGAGGATGACCTAGAGCCAAGACAGAATGAAGGCCCAAAACAGACCTGATGGATGGAGGAGCCAGACTGGAGTTAGGAGCCTGACCGAGTGAGGTGGAGACTTGACCAAAGGGAACCTAGGTGGAGCAGAGGAAACATAAAACCATGCTGACATCGAATGTCTGGAGGGCCATGGTGGAGCTGCAGGCCGGCATGACCTAGGTAGAGGTCTGGGCTTGGCAGACGGTGGGAGTAAATACTAGAATGAAACCAGAGAGAAAGAGGAATCCGGTGGAGCCAGAGGTGTGGAGGGTTGAGGTGCGTCTGATAACTCGGAATTCCAAGGCGATGATTGACCAAGGTGGAGCCAGAGAGATGTGGAAGCCCAGCGGAGCCTCAGGGATGACAGGCGAGGGTGAAGCCTAGGATGAGCCAAGGTGGAGCTGATGGGTCGGTGGGCTAAGGTGGAGTCCGGGGTTGGACGCTCAAGGCAGAGATGAGCGATCCACAGACCACGGCAGAGCTGGTAACTGGGCAACCCCAGGCGGATCCGTGCAGCCAGGCGGAACCACTGGAGGAGCTAAAGAGAAACAGTGGAGATGAGGCAGAGGAACTGGATGGCTTTGGCAGAAGAGGAGGAAAAGGAGCTTTAGAGCTGGTCAGAGCCAGTGGCAATGAAGGAAACTTTCATGAGATACATGGGACTTAGTGCTGGATGATGGAGACTTGGTGCTGGTTTGACTTAATGGTGACGAAGACGACTTGGAACTGGGCTTAACTAGCAATAACGAAGACAACATGGAACTGGACTGAACCAGAAGAGACTGAGACAATTTGGGATTGGACAGAACCAGCAGAAACTGTAGAACAGGAAATATTTCCTCATTAAGCTCATAAAATGATTTCTCAGTAACCTAGCTCATTTCACGGACCTCAGCAACGAGAGCGTTGGCGGAGCTACAATCTGTTCCAACGCACTGTACTAATATGCCCTCGACGAGAGACGCTAATGCCGGCTCACACTCCTGGGCAGATTCTGTAATGGGCTTGGGCTCCGGGATGAACATGGCCTGTGGCAATGGCCCTGGCTCTGTTTTCATGATGGGCTCTGGCTTTTGATCCGCTGTGGGAATGGCTGTATGCTGGCTAGGCTCTGGTACCGGAGTGGATCTGGCATTGTCCTTATTGGCTTGGCAGATGGTTAATGGCATGTTGCACTGAACTAGCACCCACACCACATACTTTGCGAAGCTCCCTCAAGCACCATCCATAGGTAAGCATGCCTTTGACCCAGTTGAGGCTTGTTGAGGCTGGTGTTCAAGAATACACAAAACAAGCTCTTAGGGTAGTGGGTAAGGCATGCCAGATCTATGAAGTCATGTGATATTCGAGGGAGTGATTCCAGTGCTCCAGCAGGAGTAGACAAACAGCAGGGATATCCATAATTTTATTTCCCCTTTTGTTGTTTTACCGGATGTATGTCGTACAAAGGAAAAAAGAAAGAAAATAAGCTGCTTATTTCAAAGAGGAATGACTCAACTGCTTAAGGCTGGTTCACACGGGACGATTTTAAAATTGTCGGCCGATTTTCCAAACCTGAGAGATCCCACAGACGGTGATAAAAACATCACGGGTCTAACAGTTTTGGTCGTACAGTGTGTGGTGCGCAGCCACACGGCAAAATCAACACATCACACACAAACCGATTTGACTCCCGAGCATTCCCAGGTCAGATGGAAAATCTCGCAAAATCCCTTGATCAAACGTGACTTCAGAGTAAACAATCATGGCGGACGAAGATGATTCAGTGGCGATAGTGTGTAGTTTGTTTTTAACGAAAAAAAAGTCCACCGGACTTTCTGGTGCGCCATACCGCCGGGCGCCAGCTGTTTTGATTTTGTTTCCTGCCGGTACTTCCTCTGCGCCTCGTCACCTCGCTTTCTGATTGGCTACACGCTACAGTTCACTGGCTGCGAGCTGGTTCGTCCCCGGGGGACACCATACACAAGGAGAAATCGGGTCAAAAAAATCCAACATGTTTGATATCTCCGATTTGAGATCGGAGTGGTCCCAGCATCCTTCCGAGCAGACGAGAGCAGTCTTAACACACCACACACGGCAGGAATATCTGATCAGATTATTCTTGATTGTCGGAAGGGGTGAATCGGGGCTAAAATCGACCTAATAATCCTGCCGTGTGAACCAGGCTTTAGACTGATTGTTTATACTAGCCCCCCGATAGTCGAAGTCAAACTCTAATGGTCCGATCTTCTATGATAGTTAATGCTTTTTAATTGCCTCTGTTTTTCTGTTCGCTTTTATTTTTGTTAAATGCATATTTCTAGAAAATGACGATCAAAAATTTCAATTAGGCTACTATTATTATTATCATTATAGAGAAACATTTATATGTTTCTCTATATGTACGGCCATTTTTAATTCATATTTTGATATTATAATCACAGCGATTTAAATAAAGAAATTTAATTTTCTTTTCAGTTATACTGCAATTAGCTGAAAATACAAAATAGAAGCAATCAACACTAGATGTATTTTGTATTTCTTTATTTTGCTTTGCTTTTTTTCTAGATTAAAATTTGATTTTCAATTTCAGATTTTCAGACTTAAGTTTGGACTCCAGTGTATCTACAAACTATAATTAAAAATGTATTGCATTACAAATGATATTACAGATCATGTTTGTTGTTACTTGAGGCAAATTAGGATGAATATATCATTTTAATGACTATTTTTGTGATTTGTTGACATTAGGATAAGGTTTAAATGTAAGTGTGTTTTAACAAAATACTGGGCTTTTCCTTATTTCAAAATGACTAGTCAGCTATTCCCAGAGGACATCTCAGGCTGTAACCCCAAAACTCATCTGATCTGCAGTTATTTGCTTCACGTCTCCCTGCAGCCATGCTCATTTTAAAGATAGCTTTCGTGTTTTAAATCAGTGCAGTAAATGTCTGGCTTGACACTGCCAGTGGCCACAAGTGAGTTTTAATACTGCTTTCCACAGCAGTAGAAATGGGCCTCAACATGAAACCACATGGTAGATAACTCCTAGAGGTAGGGAACTATGTTATTGCCCCCCTCATACACATAAAAGCTCATAACCGTAAAATAGGTCAACCCATTAAGTTTCCAAAATAAAACCTTACACTTTAGCACCTAGAGCCAAACCGTAATGAGGTAATTAAGTTTGTTCTCCCAGGCTTTAGAAATATAAAGGAATGTTGAAATGTTTTAGGTTTTAGCCGATTGTTTTTATTCGTGTAGTTTTTATTAAAAGAGCCATGGTAGACATACACTAGTCACTCTAGGGATCACTTTAGGCTGCTTTAAATACCACGTTTGATCAATTCAGAACATTGACCTAGTTTCAACAATGTTAGCTTTTTGTGTGCAAGCTTAAGTACTGTTAATGACATACTGCTATATATTAATTAACACCAATATTCATGTACTTAAGATAGATCATGTTGTAAGGCCCTCAACAATCCCTTGCTTGACCCCTCTGCATATTTCTGGAAGAGCCCTATCAGATAAGCCTCTAAAAACTCACACATTACACAACAACAACATTTATTACAATGTAATTTCAGGCGAATACATTTCATATAATATGTATTAAAAATAGGATACAATTTCATTGTGAAACTGTACACCATGATGGTCCCCTCACATTTTAGCAAACATTTTAGTATCTACTCTATGGACAATAATATAGAGATTAAACTTGGATGTATATATTTGAGCAGTCAATGTGCTGCTTGTATAGCAGTATATATTTACTGTCCTCTGAAAATAACTCAACATATAGCCATTTATTGTCAAAATAGCTGGCAACAAAAGTGAGTCGTAAGTGATGATAGATGTACATCGTTTAATCATGCAAAGCCGCATTCATGTTTTTGTCTTCTAGACAGGACCATACAAATTGTTGTATCTTGTATTAGAGCAGTTCAAATTTGTGCTTCGAGGACAATTCTCTCATACTGACCACTGGATGTGCAACATGGCACCTCATAGCAAATAACTCTCTAAGGATTTGAGAATTAGAATTGTTGCTCTCCCCAAAGATTGCCTAGGCTGTAAGAAGATTGGTAACACCCCTACTGTAACTGAGTTACAGTACAGGCCAGTGTCATACAGAGGTTTTCAAATATGGGTTTCACTCGTAACAGGCCTCGCAAGGAAGTTGAGTCCTCATGCTGTGCATCAGGTAGAAGCTGGCTTCAAAAAAACAGACGCATGAGTGCTGCCGGCATTGCTTTAGAGGTCTCTGAAGCGGAAGGTCAGCTTGTCAGTGCTTAGACCATACGCCGCACACTGCAACAAGTCAAATGGTGTCCAGCATGTGTGTTGACGCCCTGGTGAGGAGTACCAAGAAAATTGTGTCTTTCCTACAGTTAAGCATGGCGATGGTAGCATCATGAGTGTTCCTGGGACTGGGGAGCTGAGCTTAATTAAGGGGAAACATGGATTCCAACACATCATTCTGAAGCAGAACATGATGCCCTCCCTTCAGAGACTGGGCCGAACGTCATGATAACGACCACAAACACACCGCCAAGATGACAACTGCCTTGCTGAGGAAGCTGAAGTTGAAGGTGATGAAGTGGCCAAGTATGCCTCCAGAACTGAACCCCATTAGCCCCTTTTCCACCGAAGCATTTTGAGAGCCGGTTCGGAGCCGGTGCCTCCGCGCGAACCAGTTCTTTGTGTTTCGACAGCCAAAGAACCGGTTCTCGGCCAGGAGAACTGGTTCCAAAGCGGCACCAACTCTTTGCTGGACTAGAACCGTTGTTTTACCACATCATGCTTACATCGGGGGCTGGGGGCGGGTTTAGATGTGTTCTAAACATCTTTTCTGACCATAATAAAGGATCGCAAAGCCAAGAGAAACATTTGCAGAAACACGATGGAGTCCGCCTTTGTAATTTGTATGCTTGAAGTTAACGCAAGCATTTCTATTTTTGTAATTTTTTTTATTGAAGACATTATAAGCAAAGAAGAAAACAGTCACAATAAAGAACAAATAAATGGAAAGAAAAAAAGGACACAAGACAGGGGTACATAACTAATGCTACGTTCACACCGGACGCGAATCGCGCGTCAAATTCGCGCCTGACGCGTCTAGTTTGACGCTTGACCACTAGTGTTAATTCGCGTGTCAAGAGCGAAACTGCCGCGCGTAAAGTTTGAAGCAAAATTTACGCGCGTCAGAATCAAAATCCGTTGGCGGCCATTGTTTTTATGTCGACCGAGCATTCATCAAGAGAGTTACCGCTCTGTATTTACTCTGGAGAGCAGAACAGCGGCGTGGGGATCATCGTCGCCGTATATTTGTGTCCACCGGACCCTTCGGAGCCGAACCGTTTGGCGAGTTTCACCATTTGCTCGCTCCAGGAGCTGCGCTGGATGACGGCCAGTTTGATGACCTGTTGTCCCGCATCTGAGCGAGGATCACCCTCGCCCTCATCCATCTAATCTAGCTGTCATTTATTTTTGTTTTGATGATAAATAGAGCCAGCCTTCAAAAGTTATTAACCTGTCCTGTGATTTTTTTCTCTCTCTCACGTCCAGACACGAATTTATGCACATATGTTGATTGTCTTTACAACATAATTTCTAGATATGGAATGAATAACATTCAATACAAAATGAACATGTCCCGTATATAGAAATAATGTTTTAAGTGATGAAACATTTGCTTTGTTGTGCATAATCCCACCGTGCATTTAGTCATATTAACAAAATAATTTATTGAAGCATCCAGACACTTCACCACGTGAGCAAGCAGCTAGGTTCCTGATTGGTTAACGCGGCGCGAATTCACGGCAAAGTTCAGATTTTTCAACTCGGGCGGCAGACGCGAATTCGCGTCAAACGCGTGAATGCACAACGCTCAATTCGCGCCAACTTGACGCGCGAATGAGGCGTATTCGCGTCTTCCGCGCCGCGCTCGATGCCTCATTCGCGCCGCAGGAATTTTTCACGCGCGTAAAGCGTCTTTGCATTGACTTAACATTGAAATCATTCGCGCCTGACGCCCTATTCGCGTCCGGTGTGAACGTAGCATTATCAGAAAAGATTACATATCAAACGAAAAGGTTAAAAGACTTACATATTTCAATTGTTTTTAAAGCTTTCTTGGTATACGAGTTAGAGATAATCCGAAAGTAATGTTGTATTTGCAAGCGTTTCTAGCGTTTCTAAGACGTATGGCGACGTACACAGTGATGTAATGACGTCGTTCCCTGGGCGCTCTAGTCAGTGGAAAAACAAATAGGTTCTGAAGCGGTTCGCAAGTTGAACCAACTCCGAACCAACTTTGAACCAGCACCAGTTCCGAACCAGTTCTTTTTTTGGTGGAAAAGGGGTAATTGAGCACCTGTGGTGGTTATCCTCAAGTGGAAGGTGGAAAGGCGCAATGTTTCTAACAGCCAGCAACTCCATGATGCGATGTCATTATGGAGGAGTAGAGGAGGATCCCAGCAACAACCTGTGCAGCTCTGGTGAATCCCATGGCCAAGAGGATTAAGGCAGTGCTAGATAACAAAGGTGCTCACTCAAAATATTGACAATTTGGGCACAGTTTTGACATGTTCACTTAGGGTGTAGTCACATTTGTTGCCAGCTATTTTGACAATATTGGCTGCATGTTGAGTTGTTTTCAGAGGACAGCATGTGACACTTTTTAAGCAGGCATTTGCCTGCTTAAAATTTACTTAGCACATGCCCCATTAAATAGCGTTATGTAATGAGTTATGTCAACATTTGTTAAGTAGCGTGATGATGGAATTCAATATCTGCTGAACTTGCATAGTGTCAGCAGTCTGTTTATTCTCATTTTTGTGTGATCTAATCTAACTGGACTAAACCACAGTACAGATGTTTCCCTTCTGTCTCCCTCAGGTGGTTTTAACTAACCAGATCACTACACATGTGGGCGAGAAGGTTCATTGTCCTCAGAGGAATCAGGCAGATGGTAAGAACAGCCGTCCATCATCTGCTGGAGTCTAAACTGACTTTTGAGGAGAATGTTTTTGTTTAAAAATACTGTGTTTTGGGATTAGATAGTGGAAATTTAGAACAACAAAATTCTTGTCAAGACGCTCTTCTGTTTCATCCATCCCTAATGATCCGTTCTCTGATCTGGCTAACGGAAACCATTGTTCCAAGCCATTCCGAGATGGTATGTGGGATAAATGAGCGTTAGATATGACCTTCCACACAAGCAGCTGTTGTACTACATCATTGACCCTGGAGAAGATGGAATTACTCTAACCAGGGGGCGGAAAACACGATCCACTCGCTCAACAAACATGTCTGGGCCTTATACGAATCCCACGACATCTCTGATTCCATGGCTGTGCAGTGACCTGTGTCTTCTGTCACTTTATATATGGAATAGTGCAAGTATGCTCTGGCATACATCCAGGTGTACAGTTGAAGAGGGTCTTGTTTTGGGGCAAAGCTTTGAGGAAAGAGAATCAGGCTCCGTTCTCATGTTATCTAACAGACACGTTTCTGTCCTGTAACTATACCCCCAGACATTGGGTGCTTTATATCTCACTGTTCCACTCTGCAAGGTGGAGTTACCAGGAACTCTTTCTCCCACTCATTTGCTCTGTATCTTTCTCTCACACATGCACACAAATGTTTTTCCATCTCTTGGGATTATGTAGGGAAAGAATGGCCCTTATACAGCCTCACCCTGTTTATCTCATTCCTTGGTCTTATCTGACCTCTCACTTAAAGGGAAGATTTTTGTGAGTATTTCACGAAATTTTCTGAAACTACTCATATTTCTGTCTGTGATATCTCAAAAAGATATCATGGACTCAGAAGACTTTAAATAAAGTGGGCGATGTTAACAATATTATCATATCATCTATTGAAATTCTGAAATGAAAAACACCATAATTTCCAGTGCAATGATTTACTATAACCCTTAAATGCACAAATGTTTCACCAATCATTATTACATATTTGGGTCTTTAGCGACCCGTATCTATATCTGACACGGATTGATATCTACCTGTCGCAATAATATAAAACTCTTGATATTAGAGTAACAATTACAGAAGAATAAAATAAATCATATTTTGTTATCTTTTGAAGCTTGTAAGGGCTCAGTTTGAGCATATGTTTAAAGGGATACTCAACTTTTTTTTGGAAATAGGTTTATTTTACAACTTTTTACAAAGTTTTACCGTTTTCGAATCCATTCAGCCGATTTTCTGATATTTAGAAGAATATCAGTAACCAGACAGTTTCTGGTCTCATTGACTTACATAGTAGGAAAAAAATATACTATGGAAGTCAATGAGACCAGAAACAGTCTGTTTACTGATATTTTTCTAAATATCAGAAAATGGGCTGAATGGATTCGAAAACGGTAAAACCCAACTGTTTAACTCTGGGGGAGTGGTAAAATGAGCCTTTTTCCAAAAAAAAAAGTGGAGTATGCCTTTAATATCATCATCACTGTCCTCCTCGGAGCTCATTTCCCAGTACATTCAGCATCTGGCTCATATTCGCCATCTCAAACATATTCCCAAAACCAAAGTTTCAACATTTTCAAAATCAATATTTTGTTAGCTGTCAGCTTCCTCACCAGATCCACCATCAAGTGACAGTGACACAAATATTTTGATTGAGTTAAGTATTAGATCTGCAGTAAATCACTGAGCTGTTTCAAGACTTGCTGATGATACTTCCTATTATTTTGTTTTCGGCCTGCAGTAACTATGAGTGAAATGTCACTTCATCATTGTTTTAGACATTGCTATATTTTGTAATAAAGGTGAATTGCACTTATTCAGTCATCAAAGATTTAAAAAAAAAATGTACGACTAAAATAGTATTCTGCCAGGCCAGTAGCGATGTCACTTTGTAAAGAAACACTACACGCCTACTAATACGTGATCATGTGACAGTTTTCACAAAATTCATGTTTCTGTAGTTTACACAGAGATAATAATGTTATCATTTTCAAAATCTTGCACTTTGAAACTCATTTTCAAAACTTTTTCTTTTCCTCTTTGCCTTTGTAGTGGAAACTACTTTTGAGGTCTTTTGTTGGAGTTGTAGACAAAAGGCCACACCTGTAGTTTGTATCTGCCTCCATAGTTAATCTGAGATGTTGACTAATATCCAGAATAGTAGTTGCTCTCGGCTACAACTGGCTGCTGCTTCAAGCTCGTGATGAGGCCAAAACACATAAATCATAACAGACCTCAGCAGATTTACTCACCATTTCCGCTCTAGTCACCAGTCATTGGCTTCAAATTACTTTTGGGGTCAGATTTGATTCCAGTGCTTCTAGTGTAAAGTCTATGTGGAAAAGAGGCCACTGTGATTTAGTTCAGAGCTCCTCTGAACACTGATAAGAAGGATATTTTGTGCTGTATGATAAGAAATAGCATGACAGAGGAGGTTTTGATTTGTTTCTTTTTCTCCTGCATTTCTGTAACTTTCTAGAGAATTTTAGCATGCTGATATTATGTTGTGAAATTTCCTACAAAAAGGGAGTTTGATGGATGAAGATGCTTTATAAAACATCAAGCAAGCTTAAATCAGGAGTTAAAAGCAGTGCTAGCTTTAGTTAAGATTTATTTTCCAGTAGCCACTCTAAAAAACTTATATTACATAAATCCTATGATCCCATAAAAATGTGGCAGCTGAGTTTGCAAGAAATTCACTGTTAAAAAAACGGACGATATTATAGATATTGCGAGCATTGTATATTTTCCTACTTATATTTTATTAAAGTCCCTTTGTGTTGTAAATCAAGGTTTTAATGTTGTTTATATGTCTATGAGGTGTTTTTAATATGCTTTTATACAAACCATGTCAACACATTGCAGAGTATTTTCTCTTTAAAACTGCAGTGAACCAAAGACGGTCTCAAAAACGCGGTTTGAAATCGCTGGTGTTTCTGACGTCACAAACTACCCTGTAACCAATCAGGTTAACCTGTGATCAAAGATGAGTTTTAAGGGATACAGATTATTGTGTACACTGGGACTTTAAGTAATATAATGTAATCTAATAATAATAATCTACTTGAACTCCCAAAATCTTTCATTTAAACACAAACATGCAATCACCCGTTGAGGAACATAACTGATCAATTTGTGGTAGATCTGACCTCTAAATGGTGTAATTAAATGGGCCTCCTTAAAACCAACTAGTCATTCAAACAACCCACCAATGAAAGATTTGCAGATAGACTTGTATATGTACAACAAATCAGCAGATGAGCTTTATAAACATCAATGAAACATTCACACAATGTGTTTTTTTTCCAGTAGGAGTATAACATTAGAGAGAAGACTGTTGGAAAAATTGTACCTCTGCATGATTATTGGCCCAATTCAGCTTTCAAACCAAAATCAGCCCAGAGGACAAAAGTACTCTGCACATTTTTTTAACCACATTATCTTCGAATTTACATCACCACATGAAAGCCATTCCCTTGTCTATGTCCAGCCCAAGTCAACAACTCTCCCATTCCCCCGTTTGACAATCCATCAATAAAAACATTTAGACGTGCTGAATTTGGTGCAAATGCAAATTGGATCCTATAATAACTTATTTCCAGGGTATTAAAAAGAGAGCTGATTGAATTCTTTGAATAGCCCTGTTGTCAAAGTGTGGGAAAGCAGCCCCCATGGCTTCTGTTGGGATCGGAGAGAGTAGGCGGATTATACTGGAACCCAGAGCATTGATTCAAGAAGCTGGGTCTTAACAGGGCATCACATTTGTTTAGTCTGGCCCTTTCCAACCTTATTACCATGAACTCGCATTAAGTCACATGGTCATTAGTATGCGATTTAGGGGAATCCACTTAGAATGAGTTGTTCCTGTTGATAGTGCTGTATATTTGCACATGATTTTAGTGCCTGAGGTACCATATATTAATTATGCCAATAAAGTAGCCCACAAAATCTGTTGAACACAATGCAGTTCCCCATCTTGGGGGTCAGTTCTGAGCGGAGAATACAGCAGACTACCATTTTTTGGTGTATTTTACTGGTACTCGTCTCTTTAAAATGTGTTCATTTACACACATCGTCATAAGTGTTTATTAGTGGTAATAAACGTTTGACTGACTACATTATTCTACTTATTACTCAGATATTCACCAAATAAGCATGTGGACATGAAGTATTGGTTTGAGGTTAAGTAGTAATTACTACTAGTAGTAATTAATACAATATTTACAGTTTATATTGTAAATATTGTACACGCAACGATCAAGATGAACATTTACAACCATATTAAACTAATATTAATATTGAAGTTTACTAAGGTCATTTTCACTACAGTCCTATAATTGATAATTGAGATCCAAGATGGTTGCTGTTGCGTTTGTATTAAATGAGGTAGCGAGTCTGTGGTGTGATACTAGACACAATAATAGGTTTTCATTTCAACATGAAAATGATTGATCGCCTTCATGTCGCTCCAAACCCATAAAACTTTCATTCATCTTCGAACACACAAACGAAAATATTTTTCATTAAACCTGAACGATTACTGTCCCTCCATTGAGAGTCCATGTAACCAAAACGTTGATGTTATAAAAAGTTCATAAAGACATTTTAAGTAATCCATACATTTACTTGAAATCTTGAAACACAACTACATATTGAGCAAACAATTACTTTTTTTGTTTTATTTTGGGGTGAACTAACCGTTTAAAGTACAGTAGGTGGACAACTAGAATGACACTTACCGCCGCAACAACTGCCGCGGCAAATCTACCACGGCAAAAATTAACCAGTCGTATTTCAAAGTCGTTCACGAAATGACCACCAGGTGGCGCAAAGGGACATTTAGCGAAAGCAAAACGTAATTATGTAAAATTAGCCTACATTTTAAACAGAATATAGCAAACTTTTATAGCAGAACATTTTATGAATCAAAAGTTAAAATAGACCTATCTCGAAGTCAGGGAAAATAAATTGGCGCTTTGTACACATAGTGGCGGTTTAGTGACACAAAATGAAGCAAACTCATATGCAATGATTTTGGTGAATTTTTGGAATGCCACAAACAATTAAGTTTTCCAGAGAGCTGATTTAAAAGGTTGTAATGCTCTTCTTATTTAATGACTTCTTGATCAATAGAAAATATACTCAAACATTATTTTTTAGTGAAATTCAGCTTAGGAAATCTTGAAATGGTAAAAAAAAAAAAATCTGAATGTATTTTAAAATGAAATTTCAGTCATTTGCTCCAAAAAGAATGACTGACTTTATTTAAACTGTATTTCAGTCTAGTTAGCACCTGGTCCGACTGGATTGCGTGTGTTTAGTAAATAAAGCACAGTTTTGTGGTAAAATTCTGTGTGAAAAGCGGCGCTGTTTAGTGAATTCGCCCTTTTTATCCGTTAATGTGAAACAGAGCTCAAAACCCATCTGGAGCTATAAAGTGGTTGGCTATTGTTTCCAATTTTTTTCTTCTTCTTCTTGGGGGGGGTTATTGAGGATGTTGTTGTTGTTTTTTTTTTTCTGGAAGGAGGGGCCTTCCAGACATCCAGTTCACTGACATGCCATGCCAGCCTTTTCAGGTTTCTCCCGCACTCTGACTTTCCACAGGAAATGTTTTGAGGAAGTGAGAGTTGCTGATGTGACAGTTGTGAATAGTATTGTCAGATTACAGCATGGTGCTTAAAATGTTACACAACACAGAATCATGAGAAAGACACTCAGACCATGACCTCAGAGGCCCTGGCTGTTTCTGGTTGTGGCGCAGTGGGTGAACATAAACACACAGGTGTGTTTACATAGCAGTTCGAAGAAGACCCGGATGAGAGTTATGTCAATAGTAACATTGGTGACTTCCTCAGGTGTCTGACCCAAAGAAGCGTTTCTATTGTTCGTCGAGCTTATCATCTGTTCTACACTCAGTCTTTATACCGCTATAATGACTCACTGGCTCCAAGTGTTCGTGATTCACTGTTGATGAGTGAGTTATAGCAATTGAGGAAATGGTGTATGTATGCTGAGTCCAAAATGAAGTGAAATGAGAAAATGTTATAAATATTTGTTACTGACTCTGAAACTGTATTTTTGCATTTACCTTATCATGTCGGTGACTGTCGGTGATCAGATGTGACACTTTAAATTGATTAAAAGTGATTTATATTCTTACAAAAGATTTCTGTTACAAATAAATGCTGTTTTTTTTAAACGTTCTGTTTATTAAAGAATGCTGAATGTCACAGTTTTACACCCAAAGTTAAGCACAACTGTTTTCTACATCGGTAATAAGATGTATCAACAAATCAGTGCATTGAAATTATTTTTAAAAAGGATCATGTTACACTAAAGACTGATAATGATGCTGAAAAATGTGGTTTTGCATCACAGGAATAACTTACACATTCTAATAGAAAACCATTAACTATATATATATATATATACACACACACACAGTATTATGGTTTTACTATATTTTTGCAGGCTTGGTGAGCGTAAGAATCTTCTTTCAAAAAGATGTTCTGATGAATCTTTGCCCAGTAATCCTTTGAACAGTAAAGCTAATTCACCTAAATGATGATATTAATTAAATTTGCACCAATACAGTAAAGTGTGAACCCTGACTGTATGAATTCTGTTTTGTTTTTTGGGGCCGTCAGTATCTACTGAGGAGGACTCTGGGTTTGTGACAGCGGCGCTGGGAAACACATGGAGTCACTGTGTTAACACACGCCTCATTCTCCAGTATGAAGACACAGAACGGAGACAGGTACACACTCTTTCACTACACTGTGTGAATTAGCAAAATGTTGTTTGCCATAACGAACAAATTCAAAAACAACCAAAAGACACCTAACCAAGTGACCGAAATATTTAGTAGATATATATGCATTAAAAATATAGTTATTCTCTTGTGAAAAAAAAAATGGACCAGAGGTACTGATCACATCATTTTGAACCCTACTGTTTTTTTTTTTTTTTTTTTGTCCAATTAGATTCTCTAGAATGATAATGTCCCTCCCCTAATAGAGTGCAACAGCTGGGTTCCGGTAGTAAACATTTTGTAAAAATTTATTTTTTAACAAAAACGAATAAACCTTTAAAGGCCTGTTCACACTGAGACGAATTTCGCGCGCGATATCCGCCGATGTTTAACACCTTGTGACTAAACACTGGGTGCCAATGTGAGTGTGCACACCGACGCGAAAAACGCCACGCGTAAAAACGTATTTTTTTAAAAAACGCCTTGGGTTCGTTATTTTGGTTTGACGCACCTCGTCAAAAACTATCTGACCAATGAGACTGGCGCTTTTGCTCACGTGTCTGGTGCTTCTGAAGTTACAGTAAAACACAACTTGGGGGCGCTCAAGCCCAAAACGGTCTTGCCGAGCACACATACGGCGAAGAAGATACACGCCACTTTCTACAATGCAGGAAGACAAGGAAGATGCAAGGCAAGATACCTATGGGCAAGATGAATGAGCTTAACGAGCTGTATGATAATATTTATATTAGTATTTCTGTAATAATAGTATAGTATAGTGTGATCAACAGTCCTGTTTTCCCAGGACATGTGTAACGGTCACTTAAGATGGGAACCGCGCATGTGCGTAGTGTCAGTTAGATTTTGACAAGTGAGGAGAAGCCTGAGAAGCCTTTCTGAATTTGTGTCTTGTAATATAACAATTTTCTATCCATACAGAGGAGGCATTTAAATGTATTGAAATTAATAAGGCATCTTTGAGTAAACTTCGAGGATCGTTTGAGTTGCTAGGCCGAGTATCCTGGTTTTTGGTAATCAAAATATGGTCACCCTAGTATAGTATACTATTATTATTTCTGTTTTACATTAAGCGCCATCTAATGTCAGGGAATGAATTTTCATGTTCACTCGGCTCATCGTAAGCAAAAATCGCTTGGGTGTGAACACAAAAAACGCTGGCGAATAACGTGCGCGGAAATTGTCCCCGGTGTGTACGGGCCTTTAAAGACGCCTTTTGTGAGCTACGGATTTATAGTGGAAAACCACAACACCCATAATGCTGTACAGAAAATTCCACCAATCAGAGTCACGGCATTCAAATCATTGTGTTATTGTCTCCCTATGCTCTCAAAATATTTGCATACATTTGCACATATTTTGCAAAAAACTTGTTTCCATAGATAATCAACACCTATTGCAATTCACCCTCATAGCTGGTTCAAAAATAAATCGAAAGAGACTCCTGGAACCAATGCAACTTATAAAGTGGGCCACCTGCAAGTAGCAAATGCTTTTTAAAGGACACTATCATCAATTTGTCCCCTTAAACTTCCTGCTTCAACAGGATATGCGTCAACACAAGCAAAATAAAACTGCACGCATCCAGCGATTTCTTCTTTAAGACAAGCTTCAAAGAAAGAAAACTCGTCTTACTCCACCACCCCTTTCATTGTCTCGGTCTGCCCTACTTGTTTTCGTCCTGTCAAATAATGGCATTGCCCGTACACCCTTAGAGCCCTGAAGACTTTGTTTTTCTCTTTTCCGACTGAGCTCCCACCTAAAGAAAGGCACACTGATAGAGAGGCGGTGGTCCAAAACTGCTGGTACACAAGGAAGGCAATGGTGCCTGGCTCTTTTGTACGGTTCAGTGGCTCTTTCAGTGAAAAAAAAAAACCCTTAGAAACTCCCTGCTTTTCTGCCATTTACTGTGGCTGTTATCCAGAGGTAAAGTCATACTACTTCATATGTGAAAGATGTGCGTTTGGGTTAAAGTGAGGGGAACTGGGCTGTTTTTGGTGGCTGAAAGGCTTTGTGTCTTTGTGTCACGGCGCATCAGTGAGGAATCGCATTCACACAAAGCAACTGGCTGCAGGTTTGTAAAAACGAACTCATGCTTAACCACAAGTAACAATATATCCCTGCAAAGGCGAAACTAAGGAAATGCACAAGTTTATTTTTATCCAAAAAGCCTAGAGCAAGTCTTGCCGTCTGTGGACGGTTAACTTGAGACGGAAATGCCTTTCATTTCATGAGTACACAAGTTATAAAGCAGTCATATTAGGCAGAAGGCACAAACGCTTCAATTGTTTACTTTGGTTTGAGGGATCTGATTCATTTCCGATTAATGTTTTTACGCAACAGTTACCAGACAGTTGCACCCTTCACCTCATGCCTGTTTCCTCTTTTGAGTTTTTGTTGAGGAGTTTTCACTAAGATATCTCATTTTGAACAAGGCGCACCCCTAGTGCAGGGTTTCGATGTTAGATGCTGATGACAAAAGGAGCAATGTAGATTCACCAGACTCTCTAATAGGCTTTGACACAGGTTGCCGGCAGACACTGCTGAGTGTGGTAACCCAATGCTGCTGCTTCCCTAAAGGCTGTTTTCCAGGATCCTATGCTTGCTTTTATGTCTATTGACGTAGCAGCCAGATAGATGCCTTTTTTGTTGCATAAGGGGAAGGAGTTCAGACATGTTAAATAATGAAGTGCAAGTAGGGTTATTGATTTAGTCTGATTCATTTTGTAAAAACAAAGTACTTTTTTTGTGTTTTGCTGTAAAGATATAAAATAATATGATATAAATATAACTAAAATAAACAGCCATTTTTTAAATTCAGTGATTCACTTGAGTACTTCAAAACGAGCACCACAATAATAATGTAATGCTTTTTTAATGCCCCCCCCCAAAAAAAGTGTGTGTTTGTGTGTGTGTTCACTACCATTCAAAACTTTTTATATTTATATTTTATATGGAAGACATTGTTACTATATATATATATATATATATATATAGTATAGTATATATAGTATACATTTTTTTAAATAAATGTTTTTCTTTTGAGCTTTCTGCTCATCAAAATTACATTTTTAAATATATCTTAAAATTAAGGATGAGCCGAAACGAAAATTATGGGCTCGATGCACTTGGCCGAAAAACGAAGCCGAAAATAACCTTTTTTTTTAATAATTACTGATTTATTTTACAATTATTTTTTTTTTGTATAATTGAATTAATAATAGACTTTTTAATTCAATTCAATAATTTTATTTTAACACACCAAAATTGGATAGAAAATATATTAAAATATATGCATATCATTCTTCATTCAGTTCTATGCAACATAATTCGATTTAAAAGATCCAATTTTTGACCAATTATCAAAATAAAGTATAGTCCTAGAAAACTAATCTCATCAGAGCATGTGAGCAGATGGCGGAGAGCGGATCAGGGAACGAGAGGGTAGCGTTATTTTACCAGCGTTGCCCAGCAGGGCTTTACCACACCATGTTGCTGCACAGTATAGGGCTATTGCAAACAGAAACAAGACTACTACTAAATACAAATTTCATATCGGGATTATTTGAACAGACTTTGCTTTTCCTGGTGAGTGAGCGGGTACATAAGTGGAGCATTTGCTTGGGCCGGCGACTGAGCAGAGAGCGTACTGGGTGCCGGTACAGACGTAACTGCTCAGCCAGAGTCGCTTCGAGTTCATCTTGAGTGTACATCTCGCAAAGTTGCGCGAGAGTAAAACCTGAGCGGCAGAGCTGTAAATATTTTCCGCCGACTGACCCAAAACTTTTGAACAATTGTGTGTAATTATTCAAATGATCACATCATTATCTTCACAGCACTGCTGATTGGTTGCTGTTGCATCAGCGGCCAATGAGCTGCTTTCAGAAACCCTCCACCTTCCCCAGCTCCACCTGGATAGATCTACTAATGGTCATATCTTGCGTGAATTGTCATGACATAATTAGAATTACTTTAATATATTAATTTTAACGATTTAAGTCTGTTGTCAGCCCTAACTATTAGCGACTACACTTTGGCCTTGTGTTGATACCGTGGCCATTGAGTGACATTGAGCAGTTCTCTTACTACTCCTACGTCTCTTCTTGTTTCTTGTTTCAGATTATCATTGCCAAGTCACCCGTGGCCCCTTTTGCGGTGCTGAGCTATACTGTTCAGAGGGAGGGCATCCGTCTTGAGGGTGAGTGTGCTTGAAGAACAGTGAACTGACAAAACTGAACCTTAAAAACATGACACCAGTGTAAGGCAGGTAAGGACATGTTATGAAGTGGAAGTGCCAGTGGAAATGAAAATTAATGTGGTGTTGCACTAAGTGCACAGGAACTGGTTTTAGGGGACATAAAATTGACATATTGAAATTGTTTATGTACACATCCTCAAATTATATGCATAATTTATCTTAAAGGGGTCCTGTTATGCTTTATACATTTTTAACTTTCTGTAAAGTTTAATGTTGCTGTTTGGGCTTATAAATCTGCAAAGCCACTCCAAAAATAACTCTATATCAGTGTCACTGTTTCTGAACTCCCGGAAACGCCTCCATTGTAGTCTTGAGTTTTCTTCCGGTAACATACACATCATAATAGTCATCATTTAAATAATTTCCGCTCAAATCATGCTAAAAAAAGGAGGTGAGTCCTGGTTGAGTTTCATTAGTAGTGTGAAACTCTTCTTTACGGTTACGGGAAGGGGTTGTTTTCCCAAACACGCTCAAAGCGGTTGACCAATCACACAGCATTATAGACAGACTGGGAAGAAATGTGCTGCAACAATGTAAAATATAAAAAATAATGTGGTTTTTGAACATGCAAATGTATTGTTCTAGTGGACCCCAAATACAAAAATCAAGACTTTGAAAAAGGGCCTAATAGCTCGCTTTTAAAGCTACACTGTGTAACTCTTTTAGTTTATTCATTGCTAGATTTCAAATATATATGTGCTCATTAATGTGTATTTACTTCGTTCAAGTAATAAAGTATTCTCGTGAGTGTATGATATGCCATTGAAAACATACGGGTAAGGGGTTCTAATGTCGGTCGCCACGTTGCCCCTCCATCTTGAAAGTGCATTAGCCAAAGAGAGACATACCCGTTAATTCAAGTTTCGCCTTTCGCGTTTACGTTTGAGTTAACACTCATGGGCGAGGTCGAAGCCATGTTAATCTTGGACTCCATTGGCCACCGTAGGAGTTAAAACGAAATCGGAATTGAGAGGAACAGAAACTAATATTCACTAGATGGTAATATACCTAAAAAAATACCATGGTTGGTTTTTCAAAAAGCTAATAATACAAGTGCAGTCATTTGTGCGTGTGGTTTGTGTTGTTAAACCTTCTGGGTCAGAACTTCTGCCCACTGCAGTTTAACTTCCAGGACCTCTGACTGTCCTGTCAGGATCATTTGAATTCATCCGTGGGCTTCACAGTTTACCTCGGGGCGGTTTGTGTGGATTTCCAACACCACAAAACTTTAATGGGAAACAGGATATCAGAGGAAAAACACAGTTGGGGCTGTTTTGGCTCTTCAGCAGAGGTTTACGGTGGTGTATAGGTGGTGGACTTTTAACAGCACTTGGAGAAGAATTCAAAAGTAATTCACCTTGACGTACCCGAGGTCTTTTTCGGGTTTGGAATGGAAGTAGTTTGCTTGTGCAGTTTTACTTAAAGCTATGATTGATATCAGCAGTATCAGTTCAGCATAAATTAATAACAATGAGAAATCAAACAGCTCACACTTCTTGTTGATGCCTGTGTTTCATGCTGATATGACACACATTCAGGAGCTTGTTCTTGTTTTTGCTGGGTTTTATTAGAGGAAGCAAGTACTAAATTAGCACATTCGGTGCTTTTGTTTAGAGAGATGCTGTCGATTTTGTCTGGGAAATTAGTGTAACGCAAAACATTTAGGGCCGCAACAAACTACTATTCTGCTTTTCTATTAACTTTATTTAGTTGATTAATCAAAATAAATAAAGGTTATTCCACATGAAATGCAATATGTGAAGAGGTAAAGAATCTTCTGCTGCTGAAGAACCTGCCACATTTCCTTTAGAAATGGAAAATATACATTTGTCCTTTGTCAGTGAAAGGTTTAGGGATGCAAGATTTGTAAATAATAATAATAGTAATAATAATTAAGTCCCTTATGCTAAGACTGCATTTATTTGATGAAAAAATAACTGTAGAAACAAAACATTTTGTGAAATATGTCATACATACATTTAAAAAATGTAATACATTTAAAAAAAATAAAATGGATTAAATTATCTATTTTAATACATTTTAAAATGTAATTTGGGATGGCAAAGCTGAATATTCTTCAGTGATCCTGATCACATGATCCTTCAGAAAATATTTTAATATCCTGATTTGCTGCTCAAGAAACATTCGGAACATTTAAAAAAAAAAAAATATTTGTAGAAACAGCATTTATTTGTATTTTTTTTTTGTTTAACAATTTACAAGTCTTTACTATCACTTTTTTATCAATTTAATTTGACCTTGCTTAATAAAAGTATTAATTTCTTTACCATATATATATATATATATATATATATATATGAAGAGTTCCAAGTGCCATTTGAAATTTTCTTCTAGAATGATAATTTGAAATAATCAAGCTTGTAGTTCAGTAATTTTACTTAAATGACAATTAATAGGTAATCTTCATTGCAAAAAATAACAAAAATTAACAAAAGATAAAACAAAATTATCATTCTAGAGGAAAATTCCAAAGGGCACTTAGATGTTTTTGCATCTGAACTCTTCATATATATATATATATATATATATAAATTCATTTCACTGACCCAAAACTTTTGAACGATAGTGTTTACTTTTGTTGTGCATTTTATAGGTTACAAGTGTGCTTAGTTTAGCAAAATGTCAATAATTTATTTACAGTTGTGCAATATTTGAAAGGAAGTTCCTGAGAAAACAGAAGTCTTAGTTAAAAACATTACTATATATACTTACTATAGTAATAGCAGCAAATTATGCACAGTTAAAAGTAACTAACCCTAAACCAAACCCATAACTCTATAATAATTACATGTAGTTCATTAATATCACTCAGTGCTTATTTGAGTAAGTACAATGTAACTACATCACCTTAAAATAAAGCATAACCAAAGCAAAGCAAAATATATTTTCGGTTTAAATTTTCATCCCAAATGTGTTGTGACTTTTTTTGGTTTCATTTAAGAGTTTGTTTTTCGTTGTATCACTACATCTAAGCAATTCCCTATTTCTGTACTCTGCTGACAAAGCTTCACTATGAAGAGATTGTGTGGTTGTGTGTCTTTGTGTTGGAGAGTGAGAAAGTCTTGTGTGTGTCCAGTTGAATCCAGCTATTGAATAGTTCTGCTGTGGTCTGGCTCTCTGCATCAGTTGTGTTAATCAGTCTCTCTCTTAACAAGTGCATCTTTGATGTGTGGCTCGCAAAGCCTGCCAGCTTCAAATAAAGACCCTGTATGAGAAAGACCTTTGAAACACTCTTCACACACTTCTCTCAGAGCTTCTTACACGATGTCCTCAAGTCAATCGCACACGCATACACTAATGCTTCCTGCCAATATTTGATATCGACATGCCTCTGCACTTTAATCCAGAAATGATTATTGCTGGTTACTGGTGTGTGGATGATGCCAAAAATGTTAATATAAATTATTGAAATAGTAGAAACCTCAACTTCCTTATCTGAAACAAACACCTTATCCTCCAACTCCGTTTTAAAATATGATTTATTTTTGACATTCCATTCTTCAGTGTCCCATGACTCTTCAGAAATCATTCTAATATGTGTTGCTGCTCAATAAACATTTCTTATCATTACCCCAATTGAAAACTGCTGTTTAGTATTTTTCTGGTAACTCTGATAACCATGATTTTTTTTTAAAGATTATTTGATAAAAAGATCAAAAACAGTATTTATTTGAAATACATTTTATTTTCTAACATTTATGTTTGATCAATATAATGCAACCTCTCTGAATAATAATAAAAAAAAAATTGGTAACAGTTTATTTTAAGGTTAAATAGTTGTAACCTAATAAAACACATGTACCATATACTTACTATGGGTTGCATAGACCAGTCGACTAGTCGATTTTAATGGTCTGCCATGACGCTTTAAGCTCGACGTCAACTAGTCGCTGATCATTACTGGCCTATAGAGGGCGTAACAGGATAAGAAATCATTGAAGTCTACTTGTACACTCTGTTTCCAACAGTTAAAATGATAAATAAATGCCATAGAGTCTCAACTCGCAGTTAAGGCTTATTTGTTCATTAATGATGTCATCAGCGACTAGTCGACTCGATTCACATAAATGTTGACTTAAAAAAAATCTGAAGTCGTAATATGAACTCTAAATGAAACTCCTAATGCTTAATAGTAAAAACAGTAAATCATTCATAATTAGAAGTTATTAACCCTATGTAAAGTTATTTCAAATAAACCTTCAAATGAAGTGTTCTATATCAACTAGTTGACTAGGGGTCTTGAGTTGTCTCTTTAAAAAAAAAAAAAAAAAAAAAAAAAAATTCAAAAGACACAAAACTTCTCATTTGTACAAAATAAGTGGAAAAATATACACTGGACATGAATATTTTGGCACTTTACCTTTTAATTATTTAGCAAGACAAACCGTACCAGTCAACTCTGCCATATCTTGATAAATGACCTTAAATAAACCTATTCTATATTGCTGTTATTCCTACATGTTGCATAACTTCCTTTGCCATAAGTGTCATGAGACATTTTTATGTGAATTTGGAAGGAAGTTGTGAGATGATTAGTTAATCTCAGCGTTTAAACTTTCCAGTAAGCCTCAAGTCAATGTTCCTGCCAAGACAAAACCATAGGCACTCTTACACCACATTTTGTCAAAGAAATTTAAGACATGAACAATTTTCACCATCTGTCACTTACATAATAGAGGGCCAATAATAAATTTTTTTAATGTATTAAAAAAAGATGCATTAAAGGTACACTATGTAAGATTTTTTGGTAATAAAATATCCAAAAATCACTTGCACAGTGTGATATTTTCCTGCTGTTGTGTACTTACAATATCCTAAAATTTTGATGCTCGGGCCCTAAATAATAGCTCGTCCCTGGTCATTATCACATTTCAATGACGTAATATCCACATTATCCCTGGTTTGAGCTTGTACTGCCA